GCCGCAGGTCGGTGGTGAGTGGCGTGGTGCGAGCCTGAAAGCAGCCACGTGGAGCAGCCTCTCACCTCTGGGCTTGGCGCTCCGCTCCTCCCAGCACCCTAGAGAGGCGAGGGAACCCCATGCGCGCGCCCACCTCTGGCAGGCAGCTAAGCAGCAGTGACCAGGAGGCAGGTTCTGGTGACTTGTGAGGTGGCCTTAACCTGGTTTCTTTGTTGGCAAGAGGACTGACCCCTCCTATTTCCTAAAAGGAACAGTGGAATAGAGGTGGGGTCTGCTCCTGCCTGGGGGGCTTGCACCACGTGGGGAGGCTTGGTGGCCGAGGGGCTACAGAGGCGGCAGGACTGGAAGGCGAGGCCAGGGCTATGAGGAGGCCCCAGCTGGACGGGGGACCACCGCCAGCTTTGCGCTTAACCTGCTTTGAGCCCAGCTTGGCTGGGACCTGTCCTTTCACCCCCTTCTCCCTGTTAACCAGGGTCAGGTGCAGCCCTGCCTGAGTCATGGGGCAGGGGAGTGGTCAGCCCTGCTGGCTGAGGTGGCCCTAAGGAAGGGAGAAGAGGATAACAGGACATGCTTCCTGGCTCTCTGTCCCTTACTGTCCATCCTCCTCTCTGAAATTACATTCTAGAAGCTCCCCTAGTGTCTGCCCAAATTTCAGTAGCTTTTATTTTTCCCAGTTAGTCTCCTTGGAAACTGTCTCTTTCCGTCTCTTCAGTAACTTTTCCTGGTACGTAAGATGGAGGCAGGCTGCCCTTATTTCTTGTCTTTGGGTGGAGACGCACTGCCAGGTGGGTCCCCGTGTCGTCCTTTAGGGGGTACAGCCGTGCTGCCATGGGCGTCCAGCTACACTCTCTGAGCTGGTCTGTCAGGCTGCCACTGCCCGTGCTGGGTGGCGTGCTGGGTGGGGTGCATTTGCTCAGGACCTCAGCTGTTTGGTGTTACCCAGAGATGGGGTGACCAGCCTAAGGGGAGCTGATTTCCAGTCATTTTTTTCCAGAGAGAACTTGATCCTCACTCCTTTACTAAAGGCACTAGAAAGCCCCACATGGTGTAGAAACCAGGCCCAGAAAGTGGTCAGTTGGTGCAGCGTGAACTCCCCCCAAAAGTGACTAGATTTGGAACATAGTGAAGATCAAGGACGGGCCATGCCTTCCCCTGCTGTCGCTCACACACGCACCCCAGACCTGGACAGTGACAGGTCAATAACCTCAGCCCCCCTCTCCCCAGGGAAGATGGCCTGGGTACGCATTTGGGCTCACAGTGTACCCGTGGAGCTCTTGCAGGCTCCTGCTCCCAGCTGAAGCTAGTGCCTTGTCCCCAGACCCCTTGCAGTTCGGGGATCCCGTTCTGACTGGCGCTTCTGGGAAAACTGGCCTTGGACGGCATTGTAACCTTCAGTTCCTTCCCCCCCTGAATGAAGTGAGGCCTGCCTGTGCCCTGATGAGGATGGCAGGGTCAGGAGACAGGCCAGCAGCCATTCCCGCCCTCGACTGGCCGCCCCGGACTTCCTGAAGCCGTTAGTCAGGTTTCTGTTTCTTAGAGCTGAGTGTATTCTCATCTGTCACCTCCTGTGAAGGCTGGGTTCACACATGAGCACAATGAATAAATGGCCTCACTTGAGCGCCCCATCTCCATAGCAGCCACACTGTGGGTTACCCGTATTTGCGTCTCTGCCGTTCCTCTCCTGCAAGACCCTGAGCTCCCCAGAGGCCGAGCCCGGGCCTGGTCTGCCGCAGCAGCCTGGTACTAAGCCCCACGAGTGTGTGACCTGAAAATACGTAACTTGTGTTGCTGGGGCCGAAAGATCTTGATTCATCACAGATGGAAGTGGGGGCTTCTGGGAGGTTTCCACTCCAGGCGCAGGACCAACTTTGTACCTCACTTGCCCTTGGAGAGAACCGGAGAGCTTGGAGTCCAGCCAGGGGTGGGGGGTGCTGCTGGCTATGAGACCTCCTGAAGAACCGTTTCCACTCCCTGTGCCCGCCGCCGCTCCATGACCGGCAGTGGCTCCCTGGTGCAGATTAGACCGAGTGCAAATGCACACACCTTTCCTTTACTGGCCCCCAGGCTAGACACAGTTCAGCTTCACAGGAACCCTGAGGTACACGTTGACTTCATCTTATCAGAGTTTAGTAACTCATTGGCTTAAATCCACAACTGTTAAATGACAGCAGCGGGATTAAGCCCAGGGCGGTCTGCCGTATTACCACCAGTAGGTACTCTTCTTCATTCAGTGTCCTTCCTGAAGCATCTTCCACATGCCAGACAGCACCGCTAGAGGTTGGGCCTCAAAATTGCAATGCATGGGTGCTCCTGCCGTGGCCATGAGCCAGGTGAGCATGCCCAGAACGGGACTCAGGGCCCTGTGTGATCCTCGAGGTCAGGGTCCTTTTTTTTTTTTTTTAAAGTAGGCTCCATGCCCAACATGGATTTGAGATCAAGTCTCATGCTCAAAAAAAAAAAAGTCACATACTCTACCAACTGAGCCAGCCAGGCACCCAGGGCCCCTATCAATTCCTTTGTATTCCTGGGAGGAAACTGCCACTTTCAACAAAAATGAAAAACCTATAACCCCAGGGCTAGCATTTGGTGGGCGATCTCCAAGTCCAAAAGGGTGGCTGGATGGAACCGTCGCAGATGTCCCAATGCCTGCTGCAGCCAGCATACCACGGGAGTCAGGGTGCGGGGTCTTCCCCTTCATCCAAAGCCCTGACCCGCAGCTGGCGCCATCAGGACCACGCTCAGCATCCACGTGAGCTCCCAGGGCTGCCGCAGGGGGGGGAGAGAGCACGACGCTCTTCAGCGCCATCTGGCAGGACGCGTCCGCGGAGATTAATGCCATTGTCATTACTGCTAGTTCCAGATCTGACCTCTAAGGCACAATTGTTCATCTTCAGCTTGGTGTCTTTCTAGGGGTTCCTTCCTCCCAGCCTACCGGACAAGGAACACTTAAGAAGTGAATTGGGCCCCCGCCAAAGAAGATACACCTCAGAATGAGACCTTACTCGGAAAAAGGGTCTTCACAGAGGTAATCAAGTTAGAACAAGGTCATCAGGGTGGCCCTAATGCAATATGACTCCTGTCCTTCTAGAAAGAGGGAATTTGGAAGCAGAAGATGGGACGGGGGGACATGCCATGTGAAGTCTGGCAGACTGCAGCTGTGCGGCCACAAGCCAAGGCACATCTGGGTCCACCAGAAGCTGGACGGGGCTCAGAAGGCTCTCCCCTACAGCCTTCAGAGGGAGCACAGCCCTGTGGACGCCTTGCTCTCCCGCTTCTGAGAACAGTGAGACAAAAATGTCTGTCGTCCTAAGCCACCCGGTTTGTGGTCCTTTTTCACGGCAGCCCCTGGGCGCTTCTACACCATCTCATGGTCCCCAGGCACTCAAGTCCTGCGAGTGCCGGTCCAGAGGCAGGCTGAGCACTGTCCCTGTCTTACCGGGACCCACTTTTCTGTTCTCATCCTCCCTCTCAGGACTGGCCTCACCTCCCTGTGCCCTCACCGCACAGCAGGGGTTCCCACAGGCAAGGCCCCCGTATCCTGCTCGCCCTTCACTGCGTGCTGCACAGTTTTGCTACAGCCGAGGGCTCGAGGACGCGAACGTAAACGCCAGGCGGGTGATGCGACACCGCAGAGCAGGGCCGGCGTGTGGCTGACGAGCCCCGGGAGGCGGCGGCAACAGCGCCTGAGCCTCTGCTCTGTCCCGGGGGTGAGCCAGGCCCGAAGGGGTGAATCAACAATGACCCAACAATGATCCAACAATGACAAGCGGCATTGCTTTTAGGAACACGCTGGGGCCAGGTAGCCTGTGGCTTCTCGGAAAGGCCACTGTCCCACAGGACGTAGTCATTTCCTCATAAACCCACCTGGGCCCAGCCAGGGGTGCAGGAGGTGAGGAGCGGGGACAGATACTACGGCAGGGAAGCAACAGAGTCATTGCCCAGATGTGGAATCACGTGAATTAGGACCGAGAGAAGTCAGATCCCTGCTCCCCTGGGCTCTCTGGAACCTGACCCACCCACCGAGGCCTCCCCCTGACCTGCCTCAGGCCAACCTTGTCTGCTGTCCACCGTCATCGTCATCCCTTCACGCGGGTTCTCCTGGCACCAGACCTGGGGGCGGGCATCCGCTTGGCCTTCCTGGCAGCCCTGCCGCGGCAGGTTTCAAAGACAGCAGTTGCAGCCCTCACCCTCTGGCCGTGGGCGCTGGGAGGGGCGGCACAGACGGCCCCCACACGCAGGTTCAGCCCCATGAGCCACCTGAGGAGAGGAGAGAGTTCAGGGACCCCGCTGTGCTGAGCCTTCCCGGGGGACGCGAGGAGGTCCTTGGGAACCGGCGGGCAGTGGAGCCTGGTGGGCGAGGGCAGACTCTGGAGGGAATCCCGGCTCAGCCCCTCACCAATTAGGGGACTCAGAAGGAGTCACTTCAATTCTCAGATCCCTTCTCGGTAAAAAGGAGATAGTAATAATAATAAATAGTGACAGAGAGCTCAGGGTGCTCCAGACACTGTTCAAATCAATCTATATATGCGAGCTGACAGTGTCATCCTCACGAAGAACCCCCATGAGGTGGACACGGTTCCTTCCAGCCCCTTCACAGATGAGGGAATGGCGCAGAGAAGGCATGGGGCCCAAGTTAGTCGCAGAGCAGGATTGGAGCCCAGCTCTGCTGGACTCCAGGGTTCTTGGTGCTTTCTTATGAAATTAATGAAGTGCCCACAAATATTTATTAGGTCCCACCCCACTAGGCTGTGAGGATTGCATCCCCACGTGATGGGTGAGGGAATCCAGGCCCAGAGAAGTCCACCCCAAGCCCCATGCCCTTCTGGCTCCCTCAGGAACGGCAGCTGGCTCCGGCAGGACCCTCCCCTCCGAAGATGCTCAGCGGGCGCAGCCATGGTGCCCTGGGGAGAGGGTGGGCTTGACTGAGAGCAGCTGGGGAGTCCCCAGCTGGGGGGGGGCCCGGTGAAGTCGCCTACCTGTGCAGCGGGAGCAGCTGACAATCACAGTGGAAGGGATTGCCGCTGAGGTCGATAAGCTCCAGCTGGCTGAGATGGGCCAGGGCAGGCATGGTCTGCAGCTGGTTCTTCTGCAGGTGCAGGCTCTGCAGCCAGGGCCCCAGGCCCGAAAAGGCCCCGGGAGAAATCTGCGAGGAGATGCCAAGCCTTGGTGTGAGCTCCTGCCAGGCCCGTCTCACCCCTAGGCCTGGGAGGTAGCCCCATGCTCCCCCAGCAGAAGGGAAGTGGAGATCCCAAGGTGGCCCCCCAAGAAAGGGCAGTGCGGACCCTGGTTGGTCTGATCCCAAAGCGCCTGCCCTTTGCACGTCACCTGGATGCCCAGCTCATGGTTCTTTCTGCTCTGCCCGAACACGCCCCCATAATGGCAGATCCCCTTGGTGGCTCCAGCCCTGCCCTCAAAGTGCACAAGAACCCCATGGACCCACTTCCTCGTTCCTCCGGGCTCTGGCAGCACCCTCCCTGGATGGCCTCTCTGTGTGGCACTGGAGTCCACCTGATCTGTCCCCACACCTGAGCTCCCTGGGGGCAGGCATAGGGTCTGGCCTATCCCAGGGGCACCCGGCCCAGCCTCAGGCCTAACTGTGGGGGCAGCGGTGTCTGCCCAGTGAGTGCCTGCTGCATGGGGCTCGTGCTGCCTCCCCCACCCCACACTCCAGCCCCGCACCTGCTCCAGGCCACTGCTGTTCAGGAAGAGGTGCTGCAGTGAGCGGCCCACGGGCCGGAAGGCCCCGTCTGGCAGGGTTTGGAGCGGGTTCCCCGAGAGCTGCAGCTCCAGGAGGGCAGGCAGCCCCTCCAAGGCCCCAGTGGGCACCCCTTGCAGCTGGTTCCTGTCCAGGTGCAGCTTCTCCAGCTCGGGCGCTGGGCCTATTGCCCCGGGGGACACTCGGGTGATGCGGTTGCCGCTCAGGTAGAGCCAGCGCAAGGCTGGCAGGCCTGCCAGGTCCCCGGGTCCCAGGCGGTCCACGGCGTTGTTCTGCAGGTGCAGGGAGAAGAGGCTGGGCAGGGCGCGCAGGGCGGCCCCGGGCACGTGCCGGAAGCGGTTGCGCTCCAGGTACAGGTAGCCGAGGCGGGGCGCCCCCTCCAGGGCAGCGGCGCGGAGGCCGGCGAGCTGGTTGTCCGAGAGGTAGAGGTAGATGAGGCTGCCCAGCCCGGCCAGGGCGCCCGCCTCCAGCTCCGCGAGGCCGCAGTGCTGCAGGTGCAGCGACACCAGCCGGCCCAGGCCCGGGAAGGCGGCTCGCGGCACCGAGGGGAAGTGGTTGCGCCTCAGGTCCAGGAGCCGGGTGTCGCCGGGGAAGCCGCGGGGCACGGCGCGCAGGCCCCGGCCCTCGCAGCCGCTGTGCCGGGACTCGGAGGCGCACACGCAGGCCGGCGGGCAGGGCCGGGCGGCCCCGTCCGCCTCTTCGGGGGCGGCCGGGGGCGCGCGGGGCCGCGCGGCCGCCCGCCCCTCTTCCTCCGCCGCCGCCGCCGCCGCCGCCCTGTCCCCGGGGCAGCGCAGGTCGCCGGGCCTCAGGGCGCCCAGGGCCTCCCCTCCGAGGCGCCGCGGGCCCCCGCACGTGCCGTCCGAGCGCACCCGCGCGCGCGCCAGCCACTCGAGCAGCGGCCGGGCCTCGCAGCCGCACCACAGCGGGTTGCCCTGCAGCCGCAGCCGGCGCAGCCGCCCGGGGCCCTGCAGCGGCGGCAGGCCGGCCAGCTGGTTCCCGCGGAGGTCCAGGGTGTGCAGGCGGGGGCAGCGCGCGAAGGCCCTGGCGTCCAGCGCCTGCAGGGCGCCGTGGTCCAGCAGCAGCTCCCGGAGGCCGGGCAGCGCCAGCCCGTCCTCCTCGCCCACGTAGGTGAAGGGGTTGTGGCCCAGCTCGAGGCGGGCCAGGACGCGGGCCTGGGACAGGGCTGGCCCCGGCAGGGCCTGCAGCTCGTTGTGGTGCAGGCTGAGCCGGCGCAGGGCGGGCAGGCCGGCCAGGGCCTCGGGGGCCAGCACGCTGAGCGCGTTGTGGGCCAGCTGCAGCCAGCGCGCGCGCGCCAGCCCCTGGAAGGCCATGGCGGGCAGGTAGACCAGGGCGTTGTGGGCCAGGTTCAGTGTGGCCAGCGCGCTCAGCGCCCCGAACGTGCCCGGCCGCAGCTCCTCCAGCATGTTGCCCTCCAGCTCCAGCCGCTGCAGCGAGCGCAGCCCATCCAGGGCCTCCTGGGGCAGCGAGCTGAGGCGGTTGGAGGCCAGGTTGAGGAGGAGCAGGCGGCCCAGGCCGCGGAAGGCGCCCTCGGCCACCAGCTCCACCTGGCAGTGCCGCAGGTCCAGATGTGTCAGATAGGGCAGATCCTGGAAGGCAGCTGGCGGGATCACCTTCAGCATGTTGCCTTGGAGGTCCAGCCGCTGAGTCAGCTGAGCGGGGAGAGGCAGGGGGAGGCTGAAGAGCGTGAGGACTACAGCCTTTGCAGGCGCTGTTCCCTCAGCTGCACACTCCCCCCCCCCCACCTTTTCCTCATTCTCTTCGTCCTGCTCCCCGACACCGCCTCCAGGAAGCCTTCCCCCCTAGCCACCTGGGCACTTTTCACATCGGACTGTCGCTGCCTGTTCACTTTCTCTCTTCCCTCCTAGCCCTTGACTCCACAGAGCAGAGACCATATCTTATTCCAGTACATCCCCTGTTCTCTCTGGTTCTCTCCCGCAGGGTTTGTAATTAATTCCGTATTTTTTTAAGATTTTTTATTTATCAGAGAGAGAGCACAAGCAGGGGGAGGGGCAGAGGAAGAAGCAGGCTCTGTGCTGAACAGGGAGCCCGATGTGGGGCTCGATCCCAGGACCCTGGGATCACGACCTGAGCCGAAGGCAGACGACGCTTCACCGACTGAGCCACCCAGGCGTCCCAATTCAATATTTATCTTCTAGGTCACTTACTTGTTCCAATCACATAGAATTGTAAATAGATTGTCTCCCTAGTGGTGGTTGTTATTCCCATTTTACAGATGTGAAGACTGAGGCTCAGAGAGGAAAGGTGACATGCCAAGGTCTCCCAGCCAGGCAGTGGCAGATCCCCTGCTGCCAACCCAGGCTCCTCCTGCTGTCCTCCCTGCCCCCCTCACCCTGCTGACCTCAGAGATGGCGTCTGGCACCTCCGTGAGGTTCTGGTGCCGACAGGCCACGTGCCGCCCGGGACTGTCGCAAATGCACGTCTGTGGGCAGCGTTGGGCAGCTGTATGCCAAGCTGGGCCCAGTGGCAGCAGAAGCAGCAGCACCAAGGAGACTCTCCGGGGCCTGGGAGAGGGAGGAATGGTCCGTTGTTCACAGGGGCAAGGGTCCCACGCTGTCCACTCACCGAGCCTAGCTCCTGTTTCCGGAGCCCCTGAGATGTCTTCCTTCTTTGGCCCCAGGGAAGGCGTCATTGCTCTGAGCCTCACGACGCTCCATGCAGCAAAGCTTCTATCGTTAGCCTTGTTTAACACTGGGGGAAACTGAGGCTCAGAAAGGCGACCTGGCAAGTCTCCTGGACCGCCTGCCCCTCGGCTCAGGGAGGCCTTGCTGAATGCGAGGATGACCTGAGGGCTCAGCGAGTGTGCCCAGGCTGTGATGAGGCTCCTGGGTCCAGGGGGAGGCCTGGCCCTCCCCAGTGTGAGGGTGCCAGAGACAGAAGCAGCCCGTCCCCAGACATGGTGGGAGGGAGCATAGTGGCACCCGCTGTAGGAAGACGGCCTGCAGCCAGAGGGGCACCCAGGCCGGGCCTAAGTGTTTAAGGCCAGGTTCGGGGGACCAGGTGTTACGGGGTCCGAGGGGCTCGAGGAGCCTTACCGGCTGGTCAGAGCCATGCTGGCAGGTGAGCAGGAGGCTTAGGCCTGTCGTCCATCCGATGCCACCCCACCAGCCCGGAACGGGACGGCTGAGGGGATGGTCCCGGGCTCTGCTTTGGGCGGCTCCATCCCCTTCCCCGTCCATCTTCCCCCAGCATATCCATCCATCAGCCAGTGGGACCCCTTCACCTCACAACCGCAACCGCTGCCTGTTGCCTCTTAGGGGTGATTGCTGGCTCCCCCACACTCTGCTCACCACCACCAACCGAAGGCAACCTTCCAAGATATTCCAAGATACAGACGGGCTCTGACACCGCCAACCTGAAGCCCTCCAGCATCTCCCCACTGCCTGACTCCTGATCCCACCTGGATCCGGAGCGCTCCGACTCCCCAGTGTCACCCTTGGCTCCCAGACCAGAAACACACACGACAGAGCTTCCTCCTCGCCGCCCGTGACTCCTAAGTCCCCCGGCTCTTCCTGCTGTTCTCAGCCCGCATCTCGGCCTCTGGGCAGCCCGTGCCAGGCCCTGGGCTGGGCCCCCACCCTCAGCCTCCTCACTGCTCCTCGCCCTCTATTGTTCAGTCTCCTTGAAGTCTCGGCCCCTTGAAGGCCGGGGCTGCTGGCATCCTCCCGAGGCTCAGGGTGGACCGGGGAAGGGGGGCCCGTGGGGACAGACCCCTCAGGGACAAGCGTCCAGGGTTGAGGCCTGCTGAGGTTGAGGACGCGCCCACGGCAGCTCGCTGGAGCATCCACCCTGCCATTCACCACCTTCCTCAGAAACCACTTCGGGGACAGCCTTGGAGAATCTCTCCCCCGACAGATCCCAGAGCCCCTGTCCCCCAACGCGTCAGAGGCCCAGAGAGGGCCAGGGGCTTGCCTGCAGCCCCTCAGCTTCTGTAGACCCCCCTGGTACCCTCCCAGGGCCCACACACTCACCCCTCCATGCCGCCTCGCCTCACACTGCCAGTCCAGCCTGGATGCGGCGGGAGCCCCCCTGTCGGGCCCGCAGGCCTGGCAGCCGGGACGGGGCTGAATGGGAGGCATTGTGGGCAGCCCAGCCCGAGGCTGAGGTGAAGGAGGGGCGGGCAGGGGCGGGAGAGTGGCTGGAGTTACAGGGCCTCCTGCCCGGCGCCAGCTCAGGGCTCAGGATCACGGGCCAGGCCTGAGAGCCCAGCCAGGACAGCTGGGTCCCAGGCTGGCTGGCAGGGAGGGGCGTCTCGGGGCCAGCCTGTGGGTCCCAGACCTGGGCTCCCTCCCAGCTGTGGGCTGTCGGACAGTATTAGTAACTAGCTCACGGGTTGCTGTGGGGGCCCAGGAAAGCACCTGGAACATAGTAGGTGCTCGAGCATGGTTCACTCTGTCCTGTTTATTATACATTTACGTACATTGTTTAACACTGTACAAATGATATTCTGCAATTTTTTTATTTTTATTTTTTTTTAAGGCTTTATTTATTTGTCAGAGAGAGAGAAGAGAGAAAGCAAGCACAAGCAGGGGGAGCTGCAGGCAGAGGGAGACGGGGAAGCATGCTCCCTGCTGAGCAGGGAGCCCGATGTGGGGCTCGATCCTAGGACCCTGGGACCATGACCTGAGCCGAAGGCAGACGCTTAACAACTGAGCCACCCAGGCGCCCCTGCAATTTTTTTTTTCCACTCAACATCAAATTATCGAGTGATCCTGGCTGATTCTTCTTAGTCATGTTCATTTTAACGGCTGTGTAATATTCCATTGTGTACAGGTGGCAACTCTACTTATCCATTAATCTTGGAGATTTGGATTGCCTCTTTTTTTTTTTTGCTTCCAAGATTTTATTACAAATAATATTGCAAAACAACATCCAAATACCTATCTTCCTGGGCACATGTGCATTTAGTAAAAAATGCAACAGGGGCACCTGGGTGGGTCAGTCAGTTAAACCTCTGACTCTTAGCTCAGGTCTTGATCTCAGGGTCGTGAGTTCAAGCCCTGCCTTGGGCTCCACGCTGGGCATGGAGCCTACTTAAAACAAAACAAAACAAAAAAATTTTTTTTTAATGCAACAGTTCATGTAAACCATAGCAAACTTCTATACATCCTGTGATTGTTCAGATCCAGGTTGCTGGTGGATTTGCATCTGTTGTTATTCAGTTTGCGTGGATCTTTTTTTTTTTAAACCAGAAATAGTGCCGGACCACAGGCTTGTGCTTTATTTCACTCGGCAATTTCATGTCAGTGGCATCAGAGTGTGCACTCTTCGGTTTTTTTCCATTCAACATTATGTTTGAGCTTCATCTGTGATGCATATTTTTAAAATCTGCTTAATTTTTATATAGCATTTCAGCACTCCATTCCATAAATATCCCACAGCAGTGGCATGGGGGGGTGGGGGGGTGGAGACCAGAGGGCCATCTGCCCCAGATGCAGGCAACAAGGGGGTGTGCGGTTGGTAGGGAATTTAAATGCAAGGGGACCCAGTTGGTTTGCTTTTTATTGTCATCACGTGCTGGTGATTCTAAACACCGCTGATGCTAAAATATTCCTCCCTGCTTGGGTGGACCGTTCTCACCTCCGCTTTCTTGGTACCACATGGTGCAATTAATCCATTCCACTCTTTTTCTTTTTTTTTTTTTATTTGACAGAGAGAGACACAGTGAGAGAGGGAACACAAGCAGGGGGAGTGGGAGAGGGAGAAGCAAGCTTCCCGCCGAGCAGGGAGCCCGATGCAGGGCTCGATCCCAGGACCCTGGGATCATGACCTGAGCCGAAGGCAGACGCTTAACGACTGAGCCACCCAGGCGCCCCCCCATTCCACTCTTGAAGGACATTTGGGTTGTTTCCAGGCTGGGGCTATTATGAAGAGGGCTGCTTACGACATTTGCACGTTTTTGGTTTTCTTTTTAAAGATTTTATTTGAGAGAGAGCGAGAGGGAGTCAGCACGCACGAGCAGGGGGAGGGGGCAGAGGGAGAAGCAGGCTCTCCGCTGAGCAGGGAGCCTGATGTGGGGCTCGATTCCAGGACCCTGGGATCATGACCTGAGCCGAAGGCAGATGCTTAACCAACTGAGCCACCTGGGCGCCCCTGTTTGCACGTCTTTTGGAGAACATAGCACAACCCATCTCTCTCGGGGTAGACCTATGGGTGGAACTGCTGGCCATAGAATGTGCTTATTTTCAGCTTCAATGGATATTGCCAAACAGTTTGTCCGAGTGTTTGTACCAAATTACACTTTCCCCAGCAGTGTGGGAGCTCCATTGCTCCATTCTCACCAATGCTTGGTATCAACTGTTTTGCAATTTTGCCATTGTAAAAATAATAAACTCTTAAAAAAAATAAGCATCTTTTCATATGCTTTTTGTGAAGTCCCCATTTGAACATTTTTGTTCATTTTTCTAATGAGTTGATTTTATTTTTAAGTAATCTCTACACCTAATGGGGGGCTCGAACTCATGACCCCAAGACCAAGAGTGGCATGCTCTACCGACTGAGCCAGCCAGGCGCCCCTATGATGCCTTTTTTTTTTTTTTTTTAAGATTTATTTTAGAGAGAGAGCGAGTGAATGAGAGCAGGAGCAGGAGGGGGAGAGGGAGAGGGAGAGAGAATCTCAAGCCAACTCCATACTGAGCGCAGAGTCCAATGCGGGGCTCGATCTCAGGACCCTGAGATCATGATCTGAGCAGACACCAAGAGTCAGACGCTTAACCAACTGTGCCACCCAGATGCCCCCCATGAGACCTTTTTTTTTTTTTTAAGATTTTATTTATTTATTTGAGACAGAGAGAATGAGAGACAGAGAGCATGAGAGGGAGGAGGGTCAGAGGGAGAAGCAGACTCCCTGCCGAGCAGGGAGCCCGATGCGGGACTCGATCCCGGGACTCCAGGATCATGACCCGAGACGAAGGCAGTCGCTTAACCAACTGAGCCACCCAGGCGCCCGAGACCTTTTGATAAACAAAATCCTGTTCTCACTGCTACACAGTATCCATTGTGTCAATACCCTATAATGGCAAACTAAGGAAGGTCTTTAAGATATCCACCGACACACGATCTCCTGAAAGATCAGTAGTTTTGGCTTTTACATTTAGGATTTTTTAAATTGTGCTAAAATGTACATTACATAAGATTTACAATCTTAACCCTGTAAGTGTACAATTTCGTGGCATTCAGTGCATTCACATTGCTGTGCAAACCATTACCACAATCCATTTCCAGAACCTTGTTGTCATCCCAAACAAAAATTTTACACCCAAGACACAGTAACTCTCCTGTCTTCACCCAGCCCCTAGTAACCTCTCTTCGAGCTACCTCTTATCTGTGCAGTCATACACTACTTGTCCTTTTATGTCTGGCTTTCACTGAGCACAGTGTTTCAAGGTCCATCCATGTTGTAGCATGTGTCCGAAGTTCATTCCTTTTTATGAATGAACAGTACTCCACTGTGTGTGTATTTTTAAAGATTTATTTATATTTATTTCAGTGAGAGAGAGAAAGCAGGGGGTTGGGCAGAGGGAGAGGGAGAGAGAGAAACTCAAGCAGACTCCCTGCTGAGTGTGGAGCCCAACACGGGGCTCGATCTCATGACCCTGAGATCAGATCTGAGCTGAAACCAAGAGTCGGACGCTCAACCGACTGCGCCACCCCGAATATGTATATTGATCACATTTCATCTGTTCCCCTATTAACGGACACTAGGCTGCTTGCACCTCTTGGCTCTTGTAAAGCTGCTGTGCACATGGACATACAGGTATTTGCTGGGGTCCCCCCATTCCCTTCTTTTGGGTTCACACGCACCAGAAGTGGGAGTGCAGGCGGTTGGAAGCCCCCTTTTCTCCACCTTGTCTCATTCTCTTCCCTCTGTCTCCTCCCAGAGGCAACCACTTTCCCGAGGTAGTATAACTTCACTATAATGTATGGCATTAACAATTTTAAACTATCAACTGTACATACTGCTTTGCAAACTTGTTTTTTTCACTCAACATTTTCAAGGTTTATTCACATGAATGAAGACAGCTCCTGCATCTCCTGTATTCACTTTAACGGCTGCATTTAAAAAAAAAATTTTTTTTTAGGGGCGCCTGGGTGGCTCAGTCAGTTAAGTGTCTGCCTTCGGCTCAGGTCATGATCCCGGGGTCCCGGGATGGAGCCCCACATCGGGCTCCCTGCTTAGCAGGGAGTCTGCTTCTCCCTCTCCCCTGCTGCTGTCCTCTCTCTCTCCCTCCTCTCAAATAAATGAATAAAACCTTTATAAGTTTTTATTTAAGTAATCTCTACACCCAACCTGGGGCTCGAACTCACAACCCTGAGATCAAGAGTCACATGCTCTTGGGACTGAGCCAGCCGGGCGCTCTGTAACTGTGGCATATTATCCCACTGCATGCGGCACCCGCTGTAATTAACCGTTTTTTTCCCGAAGGACATTGAGGTTATTAATTTTCTGGACTTTTCCATGAAACTGCCCTTGTAACTTGTCACCTTGTGCACGTGTACAACGGTTTCTCTAGGGTAGATCCTTAGAAATGGAATTTGGGGTCACAGGCTACACATATCTTCACCTGAGTACCTGCCAGATTGCTCTCTGAGGTGGTTTTATTAGTCTGATATCCCTCCAACATGTGCAATGTAAAAGATTCAGCTCTTTCCTGGGGTCATGACCTCTCAATGACATCCGCCAGTCTGGTCCAAAATGGCGTCTCTGTGGCTTCATTTTGCATTTCCTTGATTTCCAGTAAAGGGGAACATATTTTTTGCTTCTCAGGTTGCATCCTCTGTGAACTGCCTGTTCATATCCTTTGCCCATTTTCAATTGGATGTACTATTCTCAACACTAATCCTCATGCAACATATGTGGCAGTCTTGTATTTTATCACCTTGCCAATTCTTAGGGTGTTTTGGTCATTGTTTTTCACTTTTTGACAGTAGCAAATTTCCTTATGCCTGTGCTTTTGTGATGTCAAACCATGCTCTTGTATTTTAACCTTTTTTAAAAAAAAATACATGGTTTTGTTGTTGTTGTTTTTTTTTAATGGCTCTTAGATGGATAGATCTGGTTCACTTTGAACGTTTGGTGGATGGCTGTGGTCTAACTGTCCTTCCACTCCATCCTGTCCCCTGCTTTCCCCAGACTAACTCCTATCTTGAACACTGGGTTTACCACATACATGCGTATACCTAAACACAGTTGCTTTTGACCCCATGGTATGGTACTGAGATTTTCTTCACTCAGCATCCTTCCTGATTCATCCACACGATGCATGTAGCCAGGGTTGATGCGTTTTCATGGTTGTGTGATGTTACACTGTATAGCTTTGCATTTGATCCACTTTCCTGATATTGGCCTGAGTCGTTTCTAGGTTCCTAGGATCAGGAAATGTTGCTTGGGAGTGCCTTTGGCCATGCTTCCTGGGGGCTTCAGAATGGAATTATTGCTGGTTTAGCCCCAAGCCCATGGCTGGACTCCCTTTAGTGAGAATAGCCTGGTGCTGAGCAGGCCTTAAGTACTTGGGGGTAACATGCCGTCTAGGCCGAGGCATCTCTCATCTTGCAGACCCCAAGTCATGGCCCTCAGAGACATGAAGCCTGTGTAATCCCAGGGTTGGCTGTAGTCCTTGGGAGCGTTTGAGTCCGGGGAAGTTCCAAAACCTACATAGCTCTCAGTAAGCAGCTGAGTTAGAGGCTGAGCCTCAGGCCCCTCCCTGCACCTGCAGCTGGTCAGGAGTTCTGAACTCTGAACTGGTCCGAAGGACTGAGTAGGGGCCAGGGCCTATACCCCTGAGACCAACAGGACCCTCCACAGTGTGCGGGTCCGAGGAGCCTGGCAGTGCTGGCCTGCGGCAAGGTTAAATGAGATCGTGGTGCACGTCTCAATCTGAACTGAAGCTTGCGCCTTCATAACCTAGGAGGCCACAGGTGCCAGCACCAGGCAGCCTGGAAGGAAGAGCCAGGCCAGAGAACCTTGAGCAGGCCCCTAACTCAGCCCTGAGCCTCAGTTTCTCCATCTGTTAAATTATCACCTGTGACAAGTTCTACTTGAACCTCCAGACTCAGCGCTTACATCCCTTTTATATTAACAGCTATTTGAGAAAGAGCACATGTGCAGGAGGAGGGGGAGGGGTAGAGGACGAGGGAGAGGGAATCTCAAGCACACTCCCTGCTGAGCACAGAGCCTGACGTGGGGCTTGATCTCACGATCCTGAGATCATGGACCTGAGCCGAAATCAAGAGTCGGATGCTTAACTAAGCCACCCAGGCGTCCCTTGCACCCCTAACTCTTGAAGACTTCCCTGACCTCACTGCCCACTGTCCCTTACACTAGGCCATGCCTGTTCGTCTCCTGCACCAGACTGGGAGCCTCCCAAAAGCTGTGCCTGTGGCCCAGAGCTCAAAACAGGGCCTGGCGAAGGGGTGGGGGTTGGAGTTGGTCAGACCTCCACCTGCCTTCTGCCATATCACCTCACATGGGGGGTAGGGGGGCAAGGCATGGGCATCTCTTCCGCCACCTGGCCAAGACAGATGGTGCCTGTTCCTGAGTGGTCCATAGCCAGTAAGGAAACGCTGCCCCCTAAGAAAGCCTGGAGGGACCGCTTCAATTCTGTAGGAGACACGGGCTCCCCAAGTGTGCCTGCTGTCTAAGGTAGGCAGTAAGGAGGGTCTGCTTAGCTGTCCTCACACCACATGTGGCAAAGGAAAGGAAGGATCCCGGGCAAGGTGCCCTCCACTCCAGGCCCTGTGGCCAGATACCCTGTGGTGGCTTCCCAGCCAAGCTCAACCCTGTGAAGTGACCTTGCTAGCCAGACCCGGGGGGTTCCTGACTGTGCAGCCAGAGGGGCTCGCGGCAAAATCCAGACCGTGTCCGGCTTCGCCAGGTCCATTAATGGAGCGATGCGGGGGCTAGAGAACTGCAGCCCAAAGCCTAGGTGAAGGGTAAGATGAGGCTGGACAGATGAAACAGGCCTAACCCAGGCCCCTCGGTGCGCAGAGGAGGAGATCCTTCCGCCCACCCCCCCGACCCCCAGGAGTCGCGGCCCACTCCTGGGCACGAACCGCCCAGCTGCTCAAGGACAGCTGGTGTGTCTGCACGCATCTGGGCCTGGGCAAGAGTGGCTGCCCCGTGGGACGACACGAGATTGGCGCAGGGGCTCTTCTGCGGACGGACAAGCCCGTACAGATCAAGGTGGGACTCCAGGTACTAAGCCCCAAGAACTGCCCACTTAAGGTGAAAAATCTCTCAGTCCCCACGCTTGCCACACATGACTTTATTTGTGAAGCCCCGGGCACAGCCCAGACACACAAAGAGCACAAAGGGGAAAGCACAGAGCGGGGGGGGGGGGGGCGGGGGGGCAGCTCCAGCGCAGTCCCCACCCTGTCCAGATCCTTTAAGAGCGTCCTGAGCTCAGTTCAGGCTCCGCAGGCCCTGCCCCTGCCCCCTGGGCCGGAGAACAGGTTTGGGCCTGCCAAAGAGCCCCCCTCCAGCTTGGCCCCCAGGCCAGTCACAGACTTCTCAGCAGCAAGGGGCAGGCCCCATGGGTCTGGAGCCAGCACCATCTGCCACTGGCTTTTCTTCCTGTCCACACGGCCTGGGAACCAGGGTCTTGCCCTCTGCTGACCGCCCCATGGCCCCACCCCCGTAGCAGGTCCTGTCCTTCAGGCCGTAGAGCTCAGCCCAGCAGGGATGGATAGCGGGGATGGCAGTGGCTAGAGGCCTGGGCTTAGTGACAGGAGGCAAAGTCAGCCACCAGGTGAGCAGCCCCAGGCAGGGCGGGAAACTCAGCCCAGCCGCAACACAGAGGGAGGGGACGGCAGACGGACCAACTCCCCAGGCTTTGGGGCAGCCCAGAAGAGTGGGGAAGGCAAGGTGGGAGGGGACAGCCACCAGGGCCTCGAGCTGGAGGCATGGAGCAGCAGAGCGCCCTCAGATGGCAATGAGTTTAATGGCAGAGCAGCTTGCAGCCCTCTCAGGGGGGCCAGCTCCCCTCCAGTGGGACCAGGGCCAGTCCAGCAGGGAGACCTTAAAACCCCAGCCCTGACAAGAAGCGCACACCTGCACACGCACCACACCGACACGCACACTCGGGGACCGACACGACACAAGCGACGAAGACCCTCCCTGCCTCTGGCCAGAGTCCTTCATCCGAGTCCCTTCCCAAGTCACTGGTCCAGGCCGGGGGGGGGGGGGGGGGGGCCGGCTTCGCATCTAGACCTTGTACAGCGTCTGTAGCAGGTTGTGACGGGCAAAGGAGCAGGACTCCAGGGCACCATTAGGCCTGTGAGGAAAGAACAGTCAGTGTGGGGGGGACACCACACAGCCCAGGGCCAGGGACTGCAGGCTGCAGCAAGGGCCCTTTCCCCACTATTGGGGGGCGGGGGGCCGGGGGTTTCTGAGGCTGACGGCTCTGGGAGGGAGAGGTTAGGAGCCCGCCTTCCGTACACCGCAGGGTGAGGCGTGTGTGAAGCTCAGAGGGGCAGCAATGCACCCAAGGCCACACGGCCCGGAGCTGGCCGGAATGCAGGGCCGAGCAGCCAGGAAGCAGACCCCTGCTCTCCACCCAGCAGCCCGTGTGAGGGCCCTTCCAGGGGACACAGGGCCACGGCGTCCTCACAGGCACTGGAATCCCACCCGGGCCCTCAGAGATGATGGGTTGGCCATTGTCACCATCAAGATCATGAATCTCACTACAGATGAAGAAAGGACGCTGGGTGAGTGTGGGGTGCGGCCAGGGTCTGCAGCCCACAGACACTGACCTGGTCTAGGATCGCCCTGGGATCCTAGACCACTGGGCCAGGAGTTGAGGGAGGGGGAATGTGCCTGTCACTCTGTGGTCACTCAGTCGCCTCAGAGGAGGCCTAAGGCACAGCTTTTACCAATCCCCCTCTTTTAAAGTAGAACAGACTGAGGCCTGAGCTGGGGGCGGGCAAGCGGCTGCGAGGAGGCAGCCTGCCCCTGACCAACAAGGGCAAGGGTGAGGGTTTCTTCTTGTGGGTCCATGCCCAGCCCAAGGGCAACAGAAAGGCAAAGGGAACAATTCTGACTAGAGGCCAAAGAAGACAAAAGGAGCCGGGCTTTGTCCGGGGTGGCAGGCAGGGGCTGGGGCCATCATGTGGAGATGTTCCAGGGAGCTAAGCCCTGGGGTCAAGTCCCCTACTGTGTGGGAACAGGCACGGGGAGAGTGTACCTTGTGGGGAGGCAGGGCCATGAGCTCTGCGGCCAGGGTGAGGGCTTGCCCTGGACTCTGGCAGAGGGGCCAAGCACTCAGCTCTTCACCCAACGTGGGGCTTGAACTCATGACTCCAAGATCGAGAGTCGCAGGCTCCACCGACTGAGCCAGCCAGGGGCCCCACAGCTCAACTTTTCACAAGGGCCAGTCTAGCTGCAGCAGAAGGGGTGGCGTGGGCCACGGCGGCAGTGGGGGCCAGGTGTGGTGGCAGGCAGGTGGGCAGACATGCGAGAGCACGAGGCCCAAGGAGCACATGGGACCGCAAGACGTCGTGGTGGCAAAGAGGCCGTGGCGCCGACAGTCCCGGAAGCTGGCCGGAGATCCTCACCACGCCGAGCCAGACTACCCCACATCACTTGTTCACGTCCCCCGAGGCAAGGGCTATGTCCTCTCTCCTTGCCCCATTCCTACTTTCCCCCAAGGCACTGGATTCACAGGAAGTGTGGATGGTCACAGACACCAGAGACAACCTCATGCAACAGCTTGGTGGGGCAGATAGGGAGACTGAGGCCTGAGAAAGGGCAGGAGTCGGCTGGGGCCACAGAGGACCTCAGTGAGGACAGGGAACGAGCCTTCCGACCCATCCCTCGTAGGCGCTGGGGTCTGAAGGCTCCTTGCTACCCAACTGTGGCCACTGCCCCACCATGGCCCAGGACGAGGCCAAGGTTTCCAGGTCTCTGAGCATCCGGCATCCATAGGGGAAGGGGCCTGTGGCTGCGGCAGGCGGGAGTGACAGGCCCCTCTGGCCTCAGCCCTGTGGCTGAGGAAACGGACACAGAACTGCTCCCAGAGACATCACTGAGGACAGGACCCCGATCAGCACTGTGGGCAAACCCCTGAACTATCCAGCGCTGCTTCATCAGGAAATGGGGGCTGTTCCATGTCCTGTTTCTCTCAGGAAAAGACACTGTTCCTGAGCCCCACATCCTCAGCCTGGCACAGCAGAGGAGAGACTCAAATACGGACGCTTGAGAGCCCCTCACAAGCCTGAACGAGCAGCCCAGGGAAGCCTCCACGGACTAGGGGTCTGCATCCATGGGACCCGGCTGCCACGTGAGCTGACGAGGGCACACTCACTTGGTCATGAACGCCAGCAGCAGGGGTGCAAGGGCCTTGGGGAAGTAGTCCTGCTGCACCATGTGGTTCAACACCATCAGAGGGCCGTACAAGTTGGCAATGGCCTTGATCTTGTCTTCACTCTGTGAAGGGAACACACAGCACCAGGCAGGGTGAGCTACAAGGTCCCCTGGGGTGGGAAGCCCTAGGTCTCCAGCACCCAGCCCCAGCTCCGAGATCCCCATGGTCGAGGTCAAGCTGAACCCCATCATGAAGGGAAGCTGCTTAAGCAGACCCGGGCCCCAGCAGGACTCAGGTGTGGGCCGGGGTGGGTGTGGCCCGAACTGCCCCTGGTTCCCCCCTGCACCCCCGTAGCCTCACCTTGAGCAGACCCATGTGGATGAGGAGCCGGGTAAGGAAGGCATTGGAGTTGAAGGAGGGTGAGCTAAAGGCCTTCCTCATCAAGGCATCTGCAAGGGAGAAGCGGCCATGGGGCAGGGAGTCCGCGGCAACAGACGGCTGCTCACCAGCCGAGGGCATGCGGCCCTGGCACACGCGGGCTGCGACCTGCCTTCTGCCCCAGTCAGGTGAACACAGGGCGGCAGCCGGCGGTCCCACGTCCCAGACTGAGGGGACAGCCAGCACCAAGGGAAAGCTCAACCTGCTCAAGCTGTGACACCTTGCCCTTCTGGTCCTGACCTCAATGAGAAGGGGCTTGGGGACCTTGCACAACCCGCGAGGAAGATCATCCCGGGGGAGGTTTCAGCCACTGTGGAGGCAAGGGGGGGATGAGCAGAGAAGGGAGGGAAAGGAGGGGCGGGGGGTCTACCGGCCCTGTGTGGGTACCTGCTTCCAGGCTAGGCTGTTCAGGAAAACAGAATTCAGGTAACTTGCTCTCATCAATGCCCACGGGGCTGGGACCTCAGGGAGCTGACTTAGGGCTCCACCCCGGCCTCGCTCCCCACCGGCGCTCCTGCCTCCATGCTGCCCACAGCGCACCAATCCAGGACGAAGTGCCGCCCGGACCTCCACCCCTCTCTGCCCTTTCCCTCATGCCGAGCCCTTCCTCCCCTCCCTGCCTGACCAAGCCTGGCCCACACGGCGGGGCTCAGACACGCATGCTCAAGGTGCCACCATGGAGGCAGTGGAGGGAACGGGGTAGCGAGGGAGGGTGGCGGGAGGACAAGAGATCTCGGGAAGCCCTGGGAACGCTATCGGGAGAGCAGGCATCCTCCAGGCTCCCAGGTGGAGGGACGGTGTGCACAGGCCCACAGATGAGGACAAAAGCTCAGTTCTCAGGACCTCTCCTGAGAGGACCGTCCCCATAAGGGCCTTGGGGCTGTGACTAGCTGGTCTTCCTATGGCAGATGCCACCTGGATGAGGTCTAACTAGACATAACTCTATGCCTTTGAAAAGGCCCCAGTCTCCCCATCTGCAAAAAATAAGAGAGGAGAGCAGCCAACCCACTCCCTAGCAAGAACCCAACAGAATAGGCAGGAGGGGCTGGAGAGTGGTACATACATTAGTGCTGGGACAAGGGGCTCCAGGGACTATAAATGTCCTGAGGCAGCAAGGAGGCAGAGCCAGCCACGGCCCACCCACCCCACCCAGTGTTACCTACTGCATCCTGCACGGCTGTCCTCACTGTGGCTTCGTCCTTAAACACAGAGGACACCTTCAGGAAGGCAGAGACCACCTTTTCTGGGTCGGATGTGTCAGTCTGAGGACACAAAAGACAACGGCAGGTCACAGGGGCCGGAGCCCCAGTGAAGATGCGCCTGCACTCTGCTGCTGGCTGGAAGAGGCCTGTCTCGCCAAGGCCCCTGGTGGGCAAGGATGGGTCCTGCCTCACCCCACGCTGTCCCCCTGGAGCTAGGCATGGGCCTGGCCCACTGCGGTACGTAATCCATACAGAGTGAGTGAGTCGGCATTAACCACGGTTATTCCCATGACCCAGCGATCCCTCCCCCTTTTTTTAAAGGTTTTATTTATTTGTTTGTTTGTTTATTTATTTATTTATTTATTAGACAGAGAGAGAGACAGCGAGAGAGGGAACACAAACAGGGGGAGTGGGAGAGGGAGAAGCAGGCGCCCCGTGGAGCAGGGAGCCCGATGCGGGGCTCAATCCCAGGACCCCGGGATCATGACCTGAGTCGAAGGCAGACGCTTAACGACTGAGTCACCCAGGCGCCCCAGCGATCCCCTTCTTGTAATCTAACCTGAACAAATAATCCAGAGTACAGACAACATTCACATGCAAGGAAGTTTAACTTCACCGAGGTGGAGACAAGGGGAAACAGTGCGAGTGTCCAGACACAGTGCGCTGCCCAAGTGCGACCTCCACTCACGGGGATGGAGGACACAACAGTTTTGCTAACACAGGAGATGACAAATGGTATTACAGGAAAAAGTGGGCCTTTCAACTCCTGTATCACGGGAAGGAAAAAAAAGAACACAGATAAAACATAAAAAGGACATCAGCCAAAAGGCCAAGCCAGCTCTGAGAACGGGCCCATTTAATTTCTCTATATTTATCACTTAGGCTCATCGAAACTATTTTCTCATCTGTAATACAGGGTAACGGGGTCTACATGGCGGGTTGCCAGAAGGCTTAAATACCAGAACCGAATACCCGGGACAGTGCCTGGCAGACAGGAGGCGCCTGCCAGCCGCCTCGGAACGAACTGGTGAGTAAGCAAACAAGCGAGGCTGGAGCAAGGGCACGGTAGGCATGTGGCCTCCGTGGGAGCTCTGGGCAGGACAGGTGTTCTAGAACAGCAGGTCCTGCAGAACCTGGGCGGGGAGCCTAGATGTGTGCACACGAGAGGGTCCTGGGAAAACTCCCTAACTCCCTAGGTGTCACTGAGTGTGGCATGCCTGCCTGTCCGGTGGTCCACACACGTCCCCCATGGCACGTCATCTGCAACCTCTGGAGGCTGACAGATACCTGGGTCACACTCACTCATGTGTCTGTGGATTTAAAGAACAAACGTCTAGGGGGGACTGGGTGGCTCAGTCGTTAAGCATCTGCCTTTGCCTCAAGGTCATGGTCCCAGGGTCCTGGGATCGAGCCCCGCATCGGGCTCCCTGCTCAGCCGGGAGCCTGCTTCTCCCTCTCCCGCTCCCCCTGCTTGGGTTCCCTCTCTCACTGTGTCTCTTTCTGTCAAATAAATAAAATCTTTAAAAAAAACTAAAAAACAAACATCTAGGTATTTATCCAGAGAATACAAACATAGTGATCCGAAGGGGCCCCTGCACCCCAGTGTTTACAGGAGCAAGGTCCACAAAAGCCGAACTATGCAAACAGCACAGATGTCCATCAACAAAGGATAATGTGGAAATACACAAATGGACTACTACTCAGCCATCAAAAAATGAAATCTTAGCATTTGCAATGACGTGGATGGAACTAGAGAATATTTTGCTAAACGAAATAAGTCAGAGAAAAACAAATATATGATTTCACTCTTACGTGGAATTTAAGAAACAAAACAGATGAACACAGGGGAAGCGCGGGACAAATAAGATGAAAACAGAGAGAGAGACAAACCATAAGAGACTCTTAACTACCGGGAACAAACTGAGGGCTGCTGGTGTCAGGTTGGTGGGGGGACTGGGCTAACTGGGGGACGGGCATTAAGGAGGCCACTTGATGGAATGAACACTGGGTGTTAGGTGCAACTGATGAATCACTAAATTCCACCCCGACACGAAAACACACACAAACACCGGGCAGCCCCCACTCCCACTGACAGTGTCCCCTCCCAATCCGAGGCACGCAGGGGCCTGGAGTTGGCAGCGCTGTTACCCACCTGCTGGGCTATCAGCACGGGGCTCTTGGGCCCGAGGCGCAGCAGCTTCTCTGGAGAGGGGAAAGCCAGGAACGTGGAGACGTCTGCAGGAGGCGGGGCGGACAGCACGGGGGCTGGCTCCTGAGGGACAGGGGGCCCAGGTGGCTCTGGAGAAGTCCAAACCCAGACTCCTCATGCAGAACATGCACCCCTCACTCCAGGCGGCCAAGGCTCAGAGTCTGGTCTCCCTCCGGTTCACGGGGCAGTCCCCCAAAGGGTGAGGGGCCCGCAGATGCTGCCCTGGCTGGCTCCTAGTGCAGGAGCCTCTGGGGAGGGGGCAAGCCACCTCCTTAGGCCAAGTGGCTCCTCCCTGGGACACACGATGTCCCAGAAATGACGCAGGAGGTGCGTGGGGGCTAAAGGGGACCCCACCAGGAGCCTGAGTCTAGCCGGGGGAAGCAATGCCAGCGAGCACCAGCGGCGCCCACACAACTGAAACAGGAGTGCCCAGCCACTTGTTGAAATGCTTTCCTAAACTGGGAAAAAACTGAAATTCAACACGAGCGTGGGGAACCTTGTCCAACCCGTAGTTCTCCAGAAGCTCTGAGTCTAAGGGGAACAGACCCGGGCGTCCTGACAACACCAGCCTCTTAGTGAAGCAAGGGGACACCAAGTGTCCCGGGTAGGCCACGGTCTCCAGAACGGGGGGCTGTCCCTACGGGTCACCAAGATGGGTCGGAAAAGAATTTCCATTTATGCTGATTTTTCACCCTATTCTTGCAGAGATATTTACACGTGTTTCATAATGAACAGTGCAGCGCCATGATACATGCCTTAGTCCTGTCACGATGCACAAATGAATAAACACACCTGGGCTGAGGTACAAATACAGCCACGCTGGCAAGATTTTCTTCTTCCACTTACAGGAGTGTGCATTCAAGGACAGTTCGCACCCAAGGTACTTAAGCGGATCCCACACCTACTACCCGCAGTGAACATGGCTCAGGATTTCACATTCGAGGGCCAGGGCTCTGATCCTGGCAAACGACAGGGAACTCACTCCACTGTTTGGGTCCAGAATCTTCCTCGATGCTGTGGACTGCTCTCCTGGCCCTTGCTGTGCCTCTTCCTCCTCCTCCTCCTCTTCCTCCTCCTCCTCCTCCTCTTCTTCCTCCTCCTCTTCTTCTCCTTCCTCTTCCTCCTCCTCTTCCTCCTCCTCATCATCCTCACCCTCATCATCACTGCAGAGGGGAATTGGCTAAAGCAGACCCTCCCTGCCCAGCGGCCTATGTGGGCTCCGAGGCCTGGCAACACAAACCCATAGACCCCAGGCAGGTGGGAGGGCGCCTGCAGAGGGCGGGGGAGCAGCTGCTCCCGGGGAGGGGTCCGGGGGGGGGGTATGTGGGTCACCAGGGAGCCCATCGTTCATCTCTCATCACCCAGGGAAGCCCATGCTGTGAACACGGAAGAACCAGATCTCATCCCTGTCCCAATGGGCCCCAGTCCCACCACGGAAACAGAGAAAAGGAAGAAAATGGTCTGTCACAGCTGAGGCCCGGGGCTTGGCAGGAACACTGCCCAGGCTGAGATGCCAGGACTGTGCCACCCATATCTCCCTGCCCACAGGAAGCTGCGGTTGTGGGGGGCAGGGGGATGGGGGCTTCTGGGACCATGAGCCTCTCGAGGCCATCCTGAGCCCCCAATTCCTAGCAGCAGCACAGACCTAGCACTGAGGGGACACAAGTGAGGGGCTGACACGTGAATGAAGCTGACCTAGGGGCAGAGGGATGCTGAAGGCCCAAACCGACTCCCATCCAGATGGAGGAGGCAGCCCCGCCGCCCTGGCCCCTGCTCCCGCTCCATGTGGGCTCCGCAAACCCATAACCCGCCCCCTGCAACAATCTCTTCCCTTCCAGACTCTGTCTCCAAGTCTGATTTTCAGAACAATCCTGACTGAGCCCACCCCCACTGCCACCCTGACCTCACTGCTCCCCTACCTGATCTATCTCAGCTCAGATCAAAGCTCATCCCTTCAGAAGTCTCCCCAACTCACCCACTCCGAAGGCCCTTATTGCCTCTTGGCTGAACATACAGAAACCTAACTTTCCTTGCCTGCCCATCCTGCCGGAATGAAGTCCCAGTCCCACGGGTCAGAAACCTTCACTGTCTTCCGCTCGCCTCCCTAACGCCCCGCACAGCTCCTGGCACAGACAGGGGCTTGAACAACGGTTTCGGAACGAATGAAAGTAGAACCACAGGCGCCACGGCTCACAGCTCCCTACCTGAGGGAGGCCAGCACCTTGGCCATGTGGAAGCTGTCCAGCACTTCCTGGAGCTGCTCACAGCCTTCTGCTCCCAGCGTGTTGCCTGTTCACGGGCGGGAGGGGGCGGAGGGTAGGAAGGTCAAGAGGGGCAGCAGGGCCCGCCTGGCAGGCCTGGGCCAAGGCCCCCACCCCTATTACCGTTGAGGTCCAGCTTTTCCAGCTCGCTCTTGTCCGCCACGGCCTCAGCAACAGCCAGAGCAGCATCTCTCTTGATTTCACAGAACGACAAGTTCAGCTCCTAAAAATAAGAGGAAGGAGTAGAGGCAAGTAGAACCATAGGCCAGGAGACCGGGTCCTACTCTGAAGCCTCTGTTTTCCCCAAGGGAGGATGAGGCAGGCTCTGTCCTCCAGCCGGGCACGGTAACACCCACAGTAAAAACAAAGCCGTTTCCCTCGCGACGTGCCGGACACTCGGTATGTTCCCTCACGCTATACCCTAATAACCTCATCGCTCCCTCCTCCCATTTCAAAAAAGAAGACACCGGCTCACATCACATGGGTGATAGGAACCGCACACCATCGGGGGAAAGGTGTGGAAGGACGGGGCCAGGAACCCAGGCCCACCTGGCCTTCAAGACCACCCCACCCCTGCCCCGCACGGCAGCAGCCCCGAGGGTGGGGGAAGCCCCGGCGGCGCTGGCACCTTCAGCTTGGGCAGGCCCCCGCGCACGGCCTCTGCGATGGCGACGGCGCCCCTGGAGCGCACCAGGCAGTCCCCGAAGTTGATCATCTCCACCTGCCGCAAGGTCTTCAGCGTCTACGGGGAGGAAGCGAAGGCTGGGTGAGGGTGCAGGCCTCCGAGAGCCCGCGGCACACCCCACGCCCGTTGCCACACCTTCGCCCTCCCTCTCGCCTGGACTTCTCAGTACTTCACCAGCTCTTGTCCCCTCCCGGCCTCTGGCGAACCTCCCTCCACCCTACTTCTATGCTACAGCCAGACCCTTCTTTGTGAAGCACAAATCTGACCAAGTCGAATCCCCCTTAAAACCTTACACAATTCTCTAGTCACGGGACAGCCTCAGAGTTAGAAGGTCACAGGGTCTTGTCCCCCTCTCCTCTCCCCCAGCCCTCAGACACATCCTGAACCCTGGTCGTTTCAAACCAGGACCAATGCAACAAGGCTCCCTCCCACCTCTGGGCCTCCCCCATGCTGCTGATCCCTCTGCCCAAAACACCCCTCTCTGTCCACAGTCCATTTGTCCTATACAACTTGGCCAAAATGTGACCTCTCCCCCAAAGTCTGCCCGAAGTCTGATTTGAACTTCCCATGTGCTCCCTACACTTGCACACACTTGTGCTAACACCCCACAGGAGCAGGACTAGCCTTTTGTGGGGCTTGGGGCCCTGTGAGGTCCCGACAGCTAGCCAGCCAGCCGGATTCAGGCCCTGCACCATCGCTGGCCTGGCCCCGCCCCTCCCTCCCTGAACTAGGGGCTCCTCGGAGGCAGAGTCTGATTCAACTCTGCGTGGCCTGCACTCGGTACAGGGCTCAGTAAGCAGCTGATGAAAGAATCAATGAGAAAAACAGGCTGCAGCAGCCTCCCATGCAGCCCCATGGACAACTCCAGCACCAACAGCTGGGTGTCCAGAGGCAGCGCAGAGGAAGGTGGTATGGACATGCCCGAAAACAGCACAGGCAAGCCTGTGACATGTGCCCCGTTCTGGAATGTTCAAGAGAGCCAGGGCGCACACCTGGTGGATGGGCAGAGGAGCTCCCCTGCCGATGTGTGCGTTAAAAAGGCAGTAGCCAGGACACCTGGGTGGCTCAGTTGGTTAAGCGACTGCCTTCAGCTCAAGTCATGATCCTGGAGTCCCTGGATCGAGTCCCGCATCGGACTCCCCGCTCGGCAGGGAGTCTGCTTCTCCCTCTGACCCTCCCCTCTCTCATGTTCTCTCTCAAATAAATAAATAAAATCTTTAAAAGAAAAAAAAAAAGGCAGTAGCCAGTCCCACTCGCCTCCACCATGACCCTGCCACTCCCGCCTCACCTTGGCCATGGCCACGGCGCCCTTCTCGGTGAAGGTGTTGTCATTCAGGTTGATGACACGCAGCAGGGGGTTGATGGCGAAAGCCTGGGCCAGGGCCGTGACGCCGGGGTGATTGATGCCATTCTGTGGCATGTGGACCTCCTCCAGAGTCCCAATGATCTGTGAGGGGCAGGAGGGACAGAGCAGGGGGGTGGGCTCCCGAGCTCCAGGGGCAGGCCCAGCACCAACAACATCCAGCAGGCAGGAAGGGGGCACCACACACTAGACACGGGGAGGGGCTGCCATCAGCTCGGGCCCAGGCTTGTCTGTGGCTATTTGGGGCATGAATCTCAAAGCAGAACTTTGGGCAGGGCTGTCTGATCCTCTCTACAATCTCATGAGGGAGACCTACCTGGGATTAGGAACTCCACCAGACAGAGAAGACTAGGGATCAGAAAGGCTAGGTAACTTACACAGGGTCACACAGCTCGGAACACAGGTTCTTCCATCTGGTGTCCTCTACCCTGCAAGGACCCTGGGCGCTGGCCTGGGGTCTGGCCACAGTCCCTCCTTGCAGACTGCATGCAGCTCCACTGTGCCTTTCTTGGGGCTCTCCTGCGCTATTTACACAGTACAGCTGGTGCCCCACATTCCCTCCTTTTCTGGGGGGTGGGGTCTTCACAAACACCTAGCCCTTTTTCATCCAACCTTCTGACACTCCGCTCTTCTTGGAACACCGTGTCCTCATTTGTTGGCATTTTCCTGATAGGCTGACTCCTATGTTGCTTTCCTATCTACCTCTCATTTTGGACACCAGAATCCCCCCACCAGGCATAGTCCAGTGCTCTTCCCCCATGCCCCCAGAGCACTGCTCTTCCTCTATCACGGTGTTCATCACCCTGGACGATCAATGCCACCTTCCTGTCTACACCCCACCAACCTCTGAGCTCCCAAGGAGAGCCATGTCCCAGCCTCTACTGCTACCAAGGATTGAGGCCAGGCCTGCGAGGACTCTCCACCTGGGTACCTTTTGTAGTCCCGCAGTGCCCAGAACCGCACAGGGGGTTCACAAGTAAACAGAGGCCAACGGAGGAACATTACCAGTCAGGGCTTCTCAGTATCTTCTGGTACCAGACCCTATGGGCAGTCTGGTAAAGCCCCTGACTCTCTCCTGAGCCTATTTTAAAATGTTAAGATAAATCATACACGACTACAAAGGAAATCCATTCAATTGGAAGAGAGTCCTCAAAATATTGAGAAAAAACCCCAAATGTGTGTTGCAGTAGTAAATGCACTCCTTAGTACAAAGGCACTGAATAACAGGACCTGGAGGCCAGTCCCCCGCTACCGTAATGCTGATGCGTGAGAAACAAAGATTTGTGTCTCTGTAACAACTATAACTTGATGTGAAAATACCTGTGATTTCTATGCTTACCAAAATCACGAGCATTTCGAAAGTTGCTGAGGTTTAAAATTTACATTCACAATTCAAGGTTAACACTACATTTTAGTTACATTAGTGGTAATAATCATGTAATCTTCCATCCGCATTCAAAGACTCCCTGAATTCTATCCACAGACTAGAGACATCCCAGGGACCCCGAGGGAAGAACCCCACTCTAAGAGCATGGTGGACATCTGTTGGAGGCCTAGCAGACACAATGTACTCCCCCCCATTCCCAGCGCACCGGGGACAGCAAGTTGAACGAGGGGTGCAGAGAAGGCGTAACCTTTAACAGCATGGTGTCTATAAGGATGGCAATGAGGCGCCCCCAGCTCCGGAGGCACCTGGAAACCCCTGCAGCCAGGGGTCCAGCAAGGCCCAGGGCACTTCTCCCCTGCTATGTTCACTCTCTGCCTGAGGTAGATGAGCTCCGGCAGGGAGGCAGCAGGGAAAGCCACTCTGGCCCGAGTATGGTTAATGTTGCTAGGATACTGTTTGCCAAAGAAAACATTTAAATTAAGAGAAAAGAAAGGGACTCCAAAGTTCCCAGCACCGTGGGGCAGGTGTGGCCCTCTTACAGAGCTCAAGGTCAGGGTCTCAGCAGTGTGGGGGGTGGGGGCAGGGCACTGGGGCAGCTGTGAAGGGTGAAGGGAGAGGAGAGTGGGAGGAGAGGCAGAGGGGATTAGGGTACCTGAGCCACTGCTCCCCTACTTCTCCATCTGAAAGGTAAGTCTGATGACTCCACCTCTGTGCCCCACCCAGTAGAGGCCAGAGACACCGACCCTCTGTGAGCCCAGGCCAGCGCCGGCCAGGCTGTTATCCCGCTCACTGCTCTGGCACCCCCGCTCCCATTTCTGAGCCTGACCTCACTCACTGATCAGAGCAACCTCACAATCTTCTCAAACAGCATTCCAGGGAGCCGCAGTGGTAGATCATGCAACCTTTCAGATACCTAACAGGAATTCTGCCCAGCTGCTGAATGAGCTAGCAGGTGCAGAGGGAGAAGCAACTCGCCCTAGGTCTCGCAGCTCAACTCCAGAGCTGGATGCACACCAGCTCTGTCAACCTGCAAAGCTTAGCCTGCCTTGGGGCATGGCGGGGAGGATGTGCAGAAACCACTCACCCCGAAAGCTTCTGCCAAGGCAGTGGCTCCGTCGTTCTCCAGACGGTTTCTGCCGGCCACGAAGACCTTCAGGCCCAGTGGCTTGCCTTGAGCACTGGATTTCCGGTGACACTCAGTCAGAGCCGCTGCCAGGATCTGGGGGGGTGGGGTGGGGGGGGGGAGGAAAGAGGCCCAGCCCTGAGGCAGGAGGCCCTGGTCTTCAACATCCCATGCCACCTACTGGCGGTGGCAGACCTGGGGACAAAGAATGGCTCACAGGCACCACGGTCATACTGCATGTGCACCTAGCACCTTACAGCTTGCTTCACGTGTGTGTCCCACTACCCTGTGGGGTCTAGCCTCATGTGAGAGGTGGGGACAGACACCCAGAGAGAAGGGAGACACCAACATGCAGAGGTCAACTGAAAGCCAGCTCCTGGGGAAGGGGCTTCACAGTCAGCTCACTATACTGCCGGAAGCCCTCTGTTGGGGGGGTGGGGGGGACGGGAAACCATGGTGATTCCCACTTCCCAGCCGAAGAACCTCAAGCTCAGAGAGGGACAGAGACATTCCTATGGTTGCTAAACCAGTGGAAGACTCTGGACCAGAATCCAAATCTTCTGGAATCTCTCCCCCGTAGCCCTGCGCCTAAGGGGAACTGGCCAAGACCACGACCCTGTCACACTCATCGGACACACACCATATGGTTGGAGGTGGTGCCAGGAGATAGCTTCTCCCTGGGTGATACCAACAGACCAAGAGTTAAAAAATGCTGGCTGGTTGCTGGGAATCAGAGAGGCCACGGTAAATAAAACAAAAGATTCACAAGAAGTGCAACAGGAGAGAAGCAACGTTTGTAGAGCATCTCCTAGATCACCGGCACTTTCAATAAAGAAAGGTACTTTCACACCTCGTTTCAACCACAAATTGAGCCTAGGAGGCAGGTGGGATTGGCTTGACTATAAACGAGGAGGCTGAGGCTCAGAGAGGTAACTGCATGGGCCAAGGGCCCACAGCAAAGGGACAGGGGAGCCACAAGCAGCAGCCAGGCCTGCCTGAGTGCACAGCTCGCCGTCCCTGGGGGCCGGAAGGGCGACCACCAGCCTGGCTCCTGGGGGTCATGCACATGCTCAGCCCAGAGACCGTGGACTTCTGCCATAAACCAGCCTCCTAAGGAACCTATGAGGAGGTGGGAGCCTACCGCACCAGCGCATCCCATTCTCCCCAGTTCCCTCTGGGGCCACCATGGTGAGGCGCCAGCTCCTACAAGAGTCCAACCTGGGGCCTCTGGGTCTGGAGAGCCCCAAGCACAGGGCTACATCTCACTCCCATGAATCCTTTGGGCCCCTCCAATTCCCACGTGTGTGGCACACGGGCCACAGTGAATGCACTCCGGCTGGAGGGAACAGATTACGAAGGACCCGGAGGCGCAGATCAACAAGGCCAGCACCCACAAGATGCCACAAAAAGGTCTCACTGAATCAGAGTGAGGGAGGTCAAGACAAGTACAAGTCAAATTCCAGAGTGGGGCAGGGCTGCCAGGGAGGCTCCCCTGGCCGCAGGGTTCCCACTGTCTTCGTCCCCGAGCCATGCCACATGCTGAAGTAAAGGCAAGGCCTACGACCAGCCCCGGGCAGCTCTAGGAGCCTCTGTTCCCCGGGCCGGCCGCGCAGCAGAGGAGAGCCCATGGAAAGCTGAGGCGTTTCCCAGGCGTGTCTCCAGCTCCCTCAGCACACCCCACTCTAGGTTGGCCTGGACTGATTTTCTGTGCTGAGGCCAACATTTTAATGTCTTCACACATGCACACAGCTTACTGCCCAATTAGACTGGGGGGTGGGGCTGGCTGAGCCGGCTGGGAGCACAGCCCGGCGCTCCCTCCCATGGGGCAAGAGGCAACGGGCACCCCTCACAGGGGAGGCCGCGCTGGCACAACACAGGCTCCCCTTGCTGCTCTAACGGGCAGAGAAGCAGGTTCAAATCCCACATTAGTCCCACCCCAGCGATGCCATCTGGGGACTTGACCCAAGGTCTCTAGCCCCAAATCCGGCTGGTTAAGTGGAAAACTGGGAATAGCATCACCCCCTTTTTGGTGTGGGTGGGAGAATTAGGGTAATGCATTTAACACATCTGCAAAAAGAAGACGTCCCCAGTCGCTGTAGGTTCCTGCGTCCCAGCCCTTTTCTCTTTTTGGTCAGAACGTGAGTGGGGATAGGGAGGATGGGAATTGGCCTTTCTAGTGTCTGGGCCTAATGGAGCCAGAATGGACCAAAAAAGAGAATAAACAAGGCTGGGCTCCCTCCATGCAGGGTCTGGGAAGAGAAGAGACGCCTTTCTGCACTGACCAGCCCGACCGGCTGGCAGGATGAGGGAGGCACCTCGGGCAAGGCCCAGTCCAGGAAAAAGGTGAGCTGTGCCCAGGCCTAAGGGGTTTCTCTTTCTGGGCTCCCTCCCCTCCACACACACCGGGCCTCACGTGGCTCTGCCAACTGTTCTGAGGGCACAGCAGCTCTGGGATGCCCAAGCCCGGCGCTCTGCAGAGCCAGCAGGTCACTGCATCTGTGTTGCCAAGACAACACGAGAACCGGGGATGGTTGCTTGGCAACCCCGCCCTCCAGGCCTCCACCACCTCTCCCCACTGGCCACAGGCTGCTGCCTTTGAGGCCTTTCTGCTCTGAAGAGAAAAACAACCGGCCAGCCAGCCATCCCAGATGGTGGCCAAGGGCACACACTTCAGGAGACGAGGCAGGCAGGGAGAGAGGGAGGGTGAGGGACGATGGGGACGTGGGGGAGGGCCCGCCGCACCCACCTTGCCACCGCCAATGCCCATGCCACAGTTGTTGAGCTTGAGCTCATGAAGGGTGAAGCAGGAGGAGCTCTTGAGCAGGGCCTCAAAGCCTCGCACGCCGTCGGGCCCGAATGCGTTGTCGCTCAGGTCCAGCTCCACCAGCTGCGCCCCGGCTGTGATGAGTCCCTCCCCTAGTGAGGTCTAGACACAGAGAAGGTTCAGCTCAGTTTCACAGACACCTCCCAGGGGCAGCTCCTATGCCAGGCCCCCCCTGCCCTCAGTGGGCACCCAGGCAGAGACACAGACCATTTCACTACACAGCTATCCTTATTTTAAACCCAGGACCAGAAACCCTGAAGAAGGCTCCCAATCCAGGTGGGGCATGGGGTGTGGTATACATGGGGGTGGTCAGGGAAAGCTTCCTATAGAAGGGGGCACTTGAGCTCAGGCTGAATGAGAATCAGTCAACCGAACAGGAGATTCCAGCCAACAGTACAAACATGAACAAAGAGACATAAGCATGAAGCAGCATACTGTGTGTCTAGAGACAAGCAGTGGACTCCAGAAGAGGATGAGGCTGGAAGGAAAGAGAGGAATCAAATCAGGCTAGAGCCCTGAATGTCAGGCCAAGGACCATGAACTTGAGTCCGAGGGTTCTGAGGGCTTTGATGTGGGTGAGGGATATAGAAGACACATTCCCCCAAACCTGAGGAGGGCAGACTGGGGGCCAAGTGCCCGCCCAGGAGTGTGAGACAGTGATTCAGGCAGCAAAGAAGGAAGCTAGCTGGCCAGTGTGGTGGGAGACAGAAGAGAGGAAACAGAGCCTCGGGTCGGTTCTAGGTCCCACAGAGGGAAGGAGACCTGCAGAAGCTGCACGTTCAGTGGACGTGCAGGAAGGAGGCGGGCACCACTGATGCCTCCAGGGTTCCCAGTGGTGACTGGTGAGATGGGTGCCTATCTCTGAGCCACAGCCCAAGACCAATGTAGCAAGATGCTAAGCTCTCCTGGGAACCTGCTGGGCTGGGGATACCTACAGTTCCCCAGGAGAGACGGGTGAGGAGAGAAGGCTCTGCCAGAGACTGGGGGCAGAAACGGGGCCAGGCATGCATCGTGCATGGGGTTCCCAGGGGACACAGTGGGGGAGGGGAGACACTCTCCCTGCCTTGGCCATGAACAGGATACCTGAGGCAGTTTCCACTGTCCTCCCCAACATTGACTCAGCAACGGAGGGCCATTCTCGGGCTGCCCCTGTCCACAGAAGGCCCAGCCCCTGTCACCTGGTCCCACTGGCCTCTAGCCCTCCAGCAGCCAGAGCTGCTGAAACCCTCTGTGTCTGCCCTACCTTCCCTCCATCTCATGCCTTTCCCTGACCCCAAAATCTCTTGTCCCCCTATGACTCACTCTGGTCGTTGGTAATATGGAGATAAGAATATCTCCCTCAATGACTGAGAAACTTAAATGCTAAAATTCAGGTAAAACAATGTGCACAGGGCCCATAGTTCGTATCTCCCAAGTACATTTTCTTCACCCCCTCTTCTAACTTTAAATCCTTTTACTGGGCGCCTGGGTGGCTCAGTTGGTTGGGCGACTGCCTTTGGCTCAGGTCATGATCCTGGGGTCCTGGGATAGAGTCCCACACTGGGCTTCCCTTGCTCTGCGGGGAGCCTGCTTCTCTCTCTCCCTCTACCTGCCACTCCCCCTGCTTGTGCTCTCTCTCTCTGTCAAATAAATAAAATCTTAAAAAAAAAAAAAAAATCCTTTTACTTACAAACCCCCAAATGAATTTACTTAACCTACACTCTAAATCCTCCCTTCACCTGGTTCTTGTTCACCCTTTGAGGCTGGTAACTAATGGAATCAGCTCCCCAAGGGCTTCCTCAATCCCCCAAAGGAGGAGCCCTCCCTCTGGGGTCCCCATTAGGACATCTGTAACTTTTTTTTTTAAAGATTTTATTTATTTTCTGACAGAGAGAGAGACAGCGAGAGAGGGAACATAGCAGGGGGAGTGGGAGAGGGAGAAGCAGGCTCCCCACTGAGCAGGGAGCCTGATGTGGGTCTTGATCCTAGGACCCTGGGATCGACCTGAGCCGAAGGCAGACACCCAACCACTGAGCCACCCAGATACCCAACTTATTAATTTATTCATTCATTCTTTCAAATGTAAACTCTATGCCCAACATGGGGCTTGAACTTGACCCTGAGATGGAGTCACTTGCTCTACCGATGGAGCCAGCCAGCTGCCCCTGGACTGAGGTGCTTTAGAAATGAGGGTGTCCCTGGCACCTCAGGAACCACAGTGCTGGCTAGATGCATGGAGGTCTAAGAAGGCAGCCCCAGCAAAACCAGGGTGAGAGACCCAGTAACACAGAGCCATGCTAATAATTGACCAAGAACCTCACCCTGAAGGCACCTCATGGGCTAGGCCCCATGTTACTGAAAGGCTGCCTATTACCAGCCCTGCCTCTTTCCCTTGAGCCCCAGGCAAGCCACATTCTGCTCAGTGACGCCCTCCCTCCCAGCCCACCCACCCACCCCAGGCTGGGAACCTGACCCCAAGGCAAGCTGAGCCCCAGGAATGGGGAAATGGAAATCAGAGGGGATGGAAGCCACCCACCATGAGAAGCAAAGCCGAAGAGTGGTATGGAGAAAGGGAGGGCCCAGAGGGAGATGGGGGGGGCCACAGAAGGGCGTGAGGGAACAGAACAGGGAGGTGCAACGCTAAGAGGGATGAGAGCGGAGGGAGCGAGATCCACAGTGGGGGTGAAGCCAAAAAGCTCAGGAGTGAACCCTGGGATCCCGGGGCTCTGCTGCACCTCCTGCGACTGGGCCTCGAGTCTCCCAGAGGCCGAGCCTGTCAGGACACGGGCAGATGCTGCACTTGCCCGGCTTCCATTCAGCACCTCAGTCACCCACAGCGTGAACAAAGTCTGAAAACAGTCCAGGGAATTGCCAAAGGGGTCCCTTGTCCCCAGGGGAGGGGAACAGTGGCCAGTGCCCTTACCAGAGCTGGTGGGATCTCGGACCGCAGCCTCCCGGTGAACATGTCGCTCCAATGGCATCGCTTTGGGAGGAGGAGGAAGACAAGAGTCAGTGGAGCCCCTCAGAGGTGGCCTGCAGGCAATGCCTCATCCTTGTGGCCATGGACTACTGAGCATTACAATACTTCTGAAATTGGGTTTCCTCAATGAAAAGCTGGTCCAGCTCTGGCTGAAGCTGGGAGTACCTGGAGACCCCCAAAGCAGAAGTGTGGAGGAAAATGCCCAACCCTCTAGTTTTCCAGGAGAGAAACCAGGCCGAGAAGGAAGAGACTGGCCCCAGACCCCAGGCCCCAAGGCAGGGCAGTGGCAGGACCAGGGCCAATACGCCAGACTCCTTGTTTCCAATGCCGGTTTCTCATACACTGTGGGCCCAAATGACACGTGACAGAAGATTTGGGTGGCAGAGGCAGAAAGTAAGCAATACGGATCCATCAGCGAGAAAGTTACTCGTTTTTTAAGGTGCCTTTTTTTTTTTTAAGTAATCTCTATGCCCAACATGGGGCTCGAACTCATGATCCTGAGATCAAGAGTCTCATGCTCTACTGACTGAGCCAGCCAGGCGCCCCTCAAGACTCTTTCCATCCCTTCTGATCACCTCCAGAAGGCGGTCTTTCTTTGGGGCTGGTGGATCTTGCCCACCTCTCCACTTCTTGCTTGTTTGCCTTTTGAACAAAGGGTGAGTAGGCCTCATGCTCAGAAGCTTTAGGTGACATCTTTTAGGTGACTAGAGTTTAATAACGCTATTTTGTTATCTTTATGGTAAGGAATACCACTTTCCATTTACAGAAGAGATCAAGTTTACTTTTAAATTACATCAAAGTGAGCTGATTTAAAGAAAATACTAGGAAAAGCCACAAAGGTGGTGGCCCTAGGACTAGATCGTGTTACCACACAGGCCAGCAGAATTTAGTTTCTAAGCACACAGCCCTACCCTCCAACTCTGGTCACTCTGTCCACCCAAAATATCAGCTCTGGCAGCTCCAGCCTCTCCTGGGCCAAACCTGGGCATGACAGAACCCAGAGAAAGCAACTTTCCCCTGAAAATCCAGTCCTTGAAATGTATGAACTAAATTCAACCTTAAGTACTAGGCAAACTGATTTCTGTAGAATTCTCAAGGCCTCCAATAAAGCAAATCACCAACCCACATGGAGCCTTAGAGGACAGTCTACCTGGGTCTGCTCAGTGAGATACACCTGAATGCAGGTGCTCAGGGCCACGACAGGCAGCCACAGCCTGAGCACTGGAACCCCTGACAACTGGCATCTCACCCGGAAGCTTCCCCAACCCAACTCTGATGGGCCAAGGGTCAGCATGGGGGTTTGGCGCACAAGAACGAGGTTCCAATTCTGACTTAACCTGACTCCAGGCCCACCACTATTCCCTGCCCATCTCTGACCCCCACTATCCCATCTCTGCAATACAGCTTTTGGCCTCAACAATCTCTCAGTGAGCAGTAGTTACTACAGAGCAGTTATGAGGCTGGGCTGTTATCTGGGCCCCAGTCCCAGCCCCCTCCTGACACGTGTGGCCCTGGACCTCACCTCCCTCATCTGTCAAGACCTAACTTATGCCTGTGTTCCAACAGGAGAGGGAACATCTCTCGCACTAGCACCTTGGCCAGAGCACTACTGGGGTCAAGGGCAGCTCCCACCTGCCCCAGCCCTGACCCCATGGGGGTGGGGTGACTTAAGGCCCTAGGTCTGCTCAGGATGACACGTTGCACGTGGCACTCCTGTGGTCACGCTCTCTCATGACACAAGCCCACATGTGCTCACCACGGCAACCTCACAGGGAAGAAAAAGTTTTGATAAAGGACCCCCGACTCAGAGCGGAGTTTGGTGCAAGGCCACAGAAAACAAATAAGGTGGTGGTACCAGGGCTTCAACCCAGACCCTCAGATGACAAAGCTCAGCTTCTGCAGCCTCCAGGCCACATCTCTTCCATTCCTGCCCTTCACTGGCCACTGTGAAGGGTTGATTTTTTTCATAGGAAAATGTCCCAGTGTCTGCTCAGGGAAACGACAGGCCCTGGGCAGAAGAGAAGATACAACCACCATCTTAGCTATTACCCGACCATGATGTTCCTGAGGAAACAAACAGTAAGAACTACCTCACGAGCCAGCCACTCCGTTCGCCCTGGCCCTGCATCCTTTCCCTTCAGCAAGCACAGGGGGGCCAGGAAAGAGCACCGGACTTCAGAGTCTGCCACGTGGCTTACTGATCAGCATTAGGATCCTGGGCTGTTTACTCAGCTCCTCCGAGCCTCAGTTCCCTTGACTTACAAATGGACACAGTGTTTATTACCGGGGGTGCCCGGAGGACTAAAGACACAAGCCGTGCATGCACTGAGCATCATTTGCAGTCGGAAAAGCAGGTCTCTCCCTCATCACTCTGCAGAGGCTTTATGTGCTCATGCACACTAGGATTCCCAGGAATGAAGAGTGTGTAGGGACGCCCTCCTGATATTTTCAACACCTGATATCCCAACTCTTCTCACAGAGCATCCTGAAGGACTGCTCTTTAGTGGGACCCCCTTTAGGACACAATGGAATAGAAGGATCTCTGTATCGGCCAAAGAGGAGCATCACTTGGATCTAACCTTTAAGAAAGAACCCGCCATTCAGCCGTGAGGAGTGCAGCACCTTCCCAAACCCACCACAGCATCTGAGCTGAGGTCTGGCCACTTCTGTCCAATACACGACTCTTCTATGGGCAGTCTTTGCTCTGGAGCCCCCTGCTGGGGAGGCTCAGCGCTTGCCAGAACAGCCCCATAGTCCAAGGCTTGGTGGCCAATTCTGTGCCCTTCCCTCCTCACAGACGCCAAATCTACAATGCTAGCTAGGCTCTCCGTGTCCAGTTCTGCTTCTTCCCCCTTTATCTTTCATGCATATTACCTGATAAACCTCTGACACTCCTGTCTGTTACTGGGGGATCCAAATGGACACATCACCCAGGGAGAGGGGCCCTGGCCAGTGCTGTGCACTCTGGGGAAGCCAGAGCAAGACGAGTTGTTCGTGGTGACCACCAACAAGGCAGGACCTAGGAGGGTCTGGACATAGGCAGGGGCTGTGGTGGCATGAGTAGAAGCTTGTCCCCAACCAGTCTGGGCCTGCTCACCATGCAGATCTCACCTTTAACTCTGACTTCTTCTCCAAGGCCTTGGCGATGACCCTGGCTGCCTCCACGCCCACCGTGTTGCCCTCCAGGCGCAGAGCCTCTAAGCCATCAAAGTCTTCAATCTCTTTAATCACGTCTTTGGCTGCCAAGGACCAAAGAATAGAAACTTAGATTTTGGGAGTCAAAAACAGCTGAGGCAGAAGAGAGTCCAGCCGCTACCTCGTCACTCACAATTCCAACAGCAATAGTATACCTGCTGCGTGCTGGGCCCTGGCTTGCAAGGAAGAATCAGGCGGGCTCACAATCTAGCAGGGGACACGGCTACAAAGAAAATTCCTCTGTACTGAGTGTTAAAACAGGCGCAGAGGGAAGGAGGAAAGAAACTGGCCACGTGGGGCAAAGAAGGGGCTTAGGGCACCTTATGGTGGTGTGTGTGGAGCCTCCCTCTGCAGGGATTGCACAAGGCCAGGCAAGGGGGGCGCCTAGGTGGCTCAGTTGGTTAAGCAGAGGCCTTCGGGGGCGGGGGGGGGGGGGCGGGCGCCTGGGTGGCTCAGATAGTTAAGCGTCTGCCTTCGGCTCAGGTCATGATCCCAGGGTCCTGGGATCGAGCCCCGCATCGGGCTCCCTGCTTGGCAGGGAGCCTGCTTCTCCCTCTCCCTCTACTGTTCCCCCTACTTGTGCTCTCTCGCTCTGTCAAATAAATAAATAAAATCTTTAAAAAAAGCATCCGCCTTCGGCTTGAGTTATGATCTCAGGGTCCTGGGATCAAGCCCCACATAGAGCTCTCTGCTCAGCAGGGAGCCTGCTTCTCCCTCTCCTTCCTGCTCGCGTTCTCTCTATCTCTGTCTCTCTCTCAAACAAACAAACAAACAAATAAATAAATAAATAAAAAGAGGCCAAGCAGGGAAATGGCATCCAAGTTGAGAGGACCAGCAGGTACAACAGCATAAAGGCTCTCAGAGTTACATGAATCATGTGCAGGGCGTTCATTACTGTATTGTTTTTGTTACAATGAAAAATTCCAAGCAAGCTAAATGTCCATCAACAGAGAATAGGTTAATTCACTGGAGTACATTATACAGTTACATTGACATCATTATGAATGGTGACACAGTGTTTACCTGACTTGGAAAATATTCATGTCATAGTGGTAAGTGAAAAATGGGGTTTTCCACAGGTTTTTGATCTGATCACACTTTTAAAATGTTATACCTATTAGAAAATACATAAATAAAAATAAAAAATAAAATGCTATATATTCGATCTTACACACACACACACACCCCAAGGTCTAAAAGGATAAAAACCCAATGTTAAAACAATTATCTCTAGGTGCTGCCATTATGGGTGATTCTGTGCTTTTCCATCATCTGCTCAATTTATTCCTAATGTATCACGTTATAAAACAGCTTTTAAAGTATCTCTAATTATGATCCTAATTGAGAAAGAAAGAAAAGAGAGAGAGAGAAAGAAAGAAAGAGAGAAAGAAAATAAAGAAAAGAAAAAAAAGAAAGGGGAACTCAGCTATGGTTAGGAAAAAAGCTAGAAAGAAAAATGCACCAAAATTAATAGTAGTTGTATCCTGGGGTATGAGATAATGAAGATGTGGGTTTTTTGCCTTCTTTCAATGTTTCTGTATTCTGTAATGAGCACATGTTAATTTTACAATCTGAACAAAAACACACAAGGGGCATGAGACAAAACCCCTCTAGCCTGGCTGGCACAAGACCAGTGGGGTGAGGCGATGGGGAAGAGATGGAGATGTGTACAGGAGAGAAAAGTTGGACTTGACCTTTTAGGTGACAAAGGCCACAGAAAGGGTTTCAGAAAGGTGGTGCTTCGCCACCTGTAAGGAGCTTGCAGAGAAGCTGTCCCAGTGGGGCCTCTGAACATACCTCCCTCCCTAGGCCACCAGTGACACTTCCTTAGGATCCCTGCTGAACTCCCAGCCAGGTCAGATCCTGCTTGGCAGGTTTCACAGCCTGGTCTCCCCGCAGACGCTGCCTGCTACAATTTTACACTCTTCTAAGTGATGACTTGATCATCACGTGGAGACTTTGTTCATACCCCCTTCCTCACTGGGTCATGAGCTCCGGCCAGGACTTGGCCTCAGCTCACTACCATGCCCCACAGAGAGGAATGCTTAGCATTCTCCCCCACACAGCCTAGTTACTACTACGTCTATCTCACAGTGGAGTAAACTGAGACACAGAGAGAGTACATACATGCCTACTGAGGTCACACAGTCAGAAAGTGGTGACCAACACTTATTTTCCTTTTCTTATTTCACAACCAGGAAGACTGGACAGGTATGAGCCTTCTATTTGCTAGAAGGGGAAGCTGAGGTTTCAAGGAATGAAGCAACTCTGCCCATGAATTTAAGAGAAGAGCAGAGCTAGGCTTCAGACTGGTCTTATAAAACTCTACCCATGAGCTCCTCCTCAAATCCTTGCTTCCGTGCATAACCGTGGACTAAATGGAGCACCCCCCACCCCCGCAGGAAGCCCCTCAATCCTTCCTTCTTCCCTGGATCCCAGGTGCCCAGGTGTCCTCCGTGACTGGCACACAGTGCGCTGCGCGAGGGCTGAAATAATCTCTCAGCGCTTTGGAAGACCTGCTCCAGAACGGAGCCCCTCGAACACCCAGGGACTGGCCAGGTGAACAATGAGGGAGGACAGCTGCTCATGGGAATGTCTGTGCAATCAAGAGCCAGGCAACAGAGATGCAGGGGCCCCAAGGGAAGACTTCTGCCATACAAGTGATGCACGCACAGAGCGAGTTCAGCCCTGGGGAGAGTCACAGGCACAACGCGAGCTGGGAAGAAAAAGCACAATTGGGAAGAGCAGGGACAGGAGAGTGGGGGGATCACCGCTGGGTGGCCTTTCTCGTTCATCTTCAATCCATGTGGAGTTCTATGTAACTCAAATACAGGCTAGGGCTGCATCCCAACCACTGTCGGATAACCAGCTGTCAGGAGGCTGAGCGGCAGGGCTTGCTTTTCAGCCTCCACCACCTCACACAGTGACAGGCTTCAGGTGGTCACCATGCAGCCATGGAAAAGCAGAAAGGCCTTTCTTTGGTCCTTAAATGACTTACTGGGGAGAGAAAAGAGCCTTGTTCCAATCATCAGTTTGGTGGCTTCCTCACACAGGCCCTTGCTCCTGATGGGGCCGGCTCACTCGCAGCCAAGATGGAGGCCCTTTGTGGGCCCAGGACTTGGCCGCCAGGTTCCCCTGCACAGCATTCAAGGGCCTCTGCACTGCGCTCCCTATGGCATCCTGATTTCTTCTCTCCCGTGCCCACCCTACGTGTCTCATCTCTGCCTAACTCATGTCGTCCTCCCTGCCTCTAGCGCCTTTTCGCCTTCAAAGACAGTTCAAACACCACCTCACCCATGGAGACTTCTAGGGCCCTCCTAAACTAGAAGTGACCCCTTTCCCTCGCCGTACTTGCCACAGCTTTCTGTTCATGTCGATCAGAGTATCCTTCACCTTCTGCCCCCCAGTAGTTATCTGAGTACCTCCTTCCTCCTCCAGGAGAGGAGCTCCTCAGAGGCTGGGGCTGTAAGCTGGGCATCCCTGGTGACTTAAAAATGGAGGCAGCATGTCCAGCCTGCGCCAGTGAAGTGGTGATCTGCACGGATTTTAAGGCTAGACAAGCTTGAGTTTTTGTTTTGTTTTTTTTTAAGATTTTATTTATTTGAGAGAGAGAGCTCATGAGAGGGAGGAGGGTCAGAGGGAGAAGCAGACTCCCTGCCGAGCAGGGAGCCCGATGCGGGACTCAATCCCGGGACTCCGGGATCATGACCTGAGCCGAAGGCAGTCACTTAACCAACTGAGCCACCCGGGCGCCCGACAAGCTTGAGTTCTAATCCCAGCTCCACTGCTTCTAGCTGCGCCCTTAGGCGAGTCCTTTCACTTCCCTGGGCTTTCATTTTCCCATCTATAGAATGGGGATGAAACCCACCTGAAGGACTTTTGTGAAAATAAACTGAGATACTACTTGCGTGGCACTTAAGACAGCCTGACTCAGTGTTCAGTGAATGGCATTTAATAGCAAATTTATGTTTACTGAACTGAGCTGAAGGTCTGCTGAGAAACACAGGAACACGGATTCAGCTGGAACTCTGTTAAAATCCTGGCTCTGCTATGTACCAGCTGTATGACCTTGGGCAAATTAGGTCTTCCAAATCATTTTTCCTTATTTATAAAAATGGTAACATTTCCACCTTCCTCCCTCCCTCCCGGATGATGCATGATCGAAAGTGACAAGAGCACAGGGAGGAGCTCTATCAATTTTAAGGCCGTTTAGAGCTATTAGGAATGTGCACGGCCACGCTCCCAGCAACCCAAGGACTCAAGCAGTTTCTGAGCCAGTGCAGGGGAGCAAGCCTGCCTGCACCGCATGACAACCAGGCAAGTCCAGACCAGTTTCCCTGGTTGGGCCAGAACCTCAAGAGGCCGTTCAAGTAATGACGTAGGTGCCTTCACTTCCAAACACCAGGGGATTCAGGGTTGACCAGTGTTAGCCACGCTTTGGCTAGGGATGAAAAGACAGGGCCTGCATTCTGGTTCCTAATTCCCTCCAGTCCTCATTCCTCTACACAGACAAGTCTTCATCCATCCCTCTCCCAGGAGCATTCAGCTGCATGGACCGGACCTCCAAGAGGGCCTTACCTCTGGGGAAGGCAACCAGTATTCCCAGACCAGCCTGGGATCATGGTGGTAAAGATCTAATAGGAAGTCAGGGGCTATATCCTGAGACTGCTGTCATGGTCACTCATTGTTTACTATCCTCTCCAAGACATAAAGGGACCCTTCCCACCTGCCAACCTAAGCTGTTACCAGCAAGGATGGCCTCCCAAAAACATGATTAGCAGGGAAGCCTATATGTGCTTGTGGACACATCATCTCTGAGCCTCACTGAGATGGGCCCAAAGATATCTCACAGAACTACTAGGACAAACAACGTAATAACACAGCTAAACAAGCCGGAACACGAGTAAGAGTAAGTGGTCATTTGCACACTCCTTTTCCTCCCCTGGGCCAGCCCAAGCAGGAACTCACCATCTTCTGCAGTGTTGAGTTTGAGGCTCTTGCCCTTGAAACTCAGCTGTCCCCCGGCCACCTGGGTTTTGGCAAGCGTCTCTGCTAGCTTGGCAATGTCTTCAGAGGCCATGCTGGCCACGTTGCTGGGCTCCCCTGGAAATCTGCAAACTGAGCAGGATGAAGTTTCATTAAGAGAGAGGAGTCTCCTGGGGACCCCCGGCTGGGAAGGGCAGGGTAGGACATCAGCCTTTTCAGGGGCTTGACCCCCTCTCCCCCCACTATGGAGACTCCAACAGCTAAACTACTGGGAGAAATGAAAACAGCGTTAGGGAGGGAACAATTCTAGAAAGGTGGAGAAAGTGGCAAGAATGTAGTAAAATCATATTTTAGCCTCTGGACAGTCACTATCTCACTTTAACTCCTCCCCTGCCCAAATGCCCCAGCTGGGACACCAAGCATAGCCATGTGAGTTGCCCATTTTCTGGGCCCCCAGTGAATGACAGTTGAGTCCCAGACCAATAGCTGCAAAGAGCCCCAAGCACACACCTGCTTGATCATCTTGGCTGCTCTCTGTTTGAGGGTCCCATTCCCCAAACAGGACTAAGATGGCTACGGGATCCAGGTCATCCATCCCAGGAAATGCCCCACCACCCACGCTGACATGTCTCTGGGGTTGGGGCACACGGGTCAGCCCACTGCACGTCAGTTTCAACCTTGGCCAGGAGACTGGGCAACCCATGTCGGCCAGACCTCAGGGGTTCCTAGGAGACCAGAGGTCTCTACATCACAACAGCCACCATCACAATAGATCCAGGGCAGAGTTACTGAAGAAAGGAGCTTCCAGCTTGGCAGAACTCAGAACACTGGCAGAAAGGACCACTCCATTTCCCCAAAGAGGAAATGGCAGGTAATCAGGGGAGACCAAGGAAGACTGATATGGGGGACAGAACCAGGAGGTGCCCACAGAGACTCCGTCTTATCCAGAACATGTTCTTCCCCAATCTATTCATCCTCAAGATACAATTGTGATGGCCCTCCAAGCCTCTCATTCCCCCCAGGCTTCCTCTGGGCTCCTACAGCCAGCTTCCCACCTCCTTCTCCTTATCTTAACCCTGATCACCCTGGTTTGCCTATCTTTACCAGTAAGCATGAATCATTCTTCTGGGTAAGGAGGTGTCCATTCATTCAAGAAACATTTAATGTGTACTACTGTGTTCTGGACATTGCTCCAGATACTGGAAGCACAGCAGTGAATAAAACAAAAATCATACCCTCTTAGGGGCACCTGGGTGGCTCAGTTGGTTAAGCAACTGCCTTCGGCTCAGGTCATGATCCTGGAGTCCCGGGATCGAGTCCTGCATCGGGCTCCCTGCTTGGCAGGGAGTCTGCTTCTCCCTCTGACCCTCCTCCCTTTCATGCTCTCTCTCTCTCTCTCTCAAATAAATAAATAAATAAATAAATAAATAAATAAATAAATCATACCCTCTTAAAATAAGTGTTCTTTTTTTTTTTTAAGATTTTATTTTTTTAAGTACTCTCTATGCCCAATGTGAGGCATAACACCAAGATCAAGAGTCGCCAGCTCTACCAACTGAGCCAGCCAGGCACCCCTTAGAGCATGTGTTCTAAACAAGATATGCAGTATCTTAAGACAGTGATAAGAAGAAAAATAAACAGAGAAGAGGGTAAGGAGTTTTCTGGGGGTTGCAATTTAAAACAGATTGGTTAGAGGAGTGCCTGGTGGCTCAGTTGGTTAAGCGTCCGACTAATGATCCCAGCTCAGGTCTTGATCTCAGGGTCATGAGTTCAAGCCCCATGTTCATTCAGCTCCACACTGGGCATAGAGCCTACTTAAAAAACAAACAAACAAACAAACAAACAAACAAAAAAACCCCACAACAAATCAGAATGATTTAGAGAAGATATTATTAGGAAAGAAACAAAGACTTGAAGGATATCAAGGCCTGGGCCAGGCAGATATCTGGGGGGGGGGGGGTGAGAGCATTCTTGCAAATGGAATAGCAAAAGCAAAGGCTCTTGTGGGGGGAAAAAGGGAGATTAGAAGAACTGCAGGGAGGCCAGTGGGGCTGGAGGGCAGAGAGGGAAGGAGAAAGAAAGCAAGAAATGAGAAAAGAGAATTAGCAAGAGGCCCAAGTCACAAAGGCCATTTAAAGAATCTGGCTTTTACTCTGAGTGAAAAGAGAAGAGCAGGCTCTGACAGATTTTTTTTTTTTTTTAAGATTTTATTTATTTATTTGCGAGAGAATGAGAGACAGAGAGCATGAGAGGGGGGAGGGTCAGAGGGAGAAGCAGACCCCCCCCCCGCCGAGCAGGGAGCCCGATGCGGGACTCGATCCCGGGACTCCAGGATCATGACCTGAGCCGAAGGCAGTCGCTTAACCGACTGAGCCACCCAGGCGCCCCTGACAGATGTTTTGACAGGCATCTCGAAGGCGCTCCAAGAATGAAGAGATGAAACTGAATAAACATTAGCCTGAAACCCCGCCGCCACTTGCAGTTCTGGGATGGGACAATTTGAGGCAAGAAAGATGGTGGTGGGGCTCCCAGATATGTTCCTATTGGAACACAGACCTTCGCAGCTAGAAAAGGGCCTATTCCTCAGTCCAATACACACGCACCACCCACTTTAAAGACTACGAAACCGAAGCACAGAGAGGTGCTTGATTTGCCCCAGGTCTGCAAAGGGTCAGCAGCAGAGCAAAGACGGAGAGTAAATACACAAACGGTCCTCTCCTTTCTGGGAACGAAAGTCGCAGATTTTCTCAGAGGCACATCCATCGCGCCTGCGAAGCGTCAGCAGTGGCCCACGGCGATCCCAGGGGCGACGGGCGTGGGACTCTTGGGGGGCGGCGGCAGGGGAGCGACGCGCGAGTGCGGGCCGCGAATGACAGGCGGGCGGCGCGGGAGCCCCATCCGGGATCCCCGGCGGACGCGCACCGCCCCCAGGTGTCACCGACGCCAACGGGAGACGCCACTGCTGGCAGCTGCGCCAGACGCCCTCTCCAAGCCTCAGCTTCCCCATCTGGGAGAGGGGGCTGCGCCCCCCAGCACCCCCTCTCTCAGCCCCTCCCGCGCTTGGCCGTCGAAGCGCAGGGGAGAAGGCCGACACCCAGAAGGCGCTCAGGGGCGCCACATCCTCCTCGCCCAGTTGCAGGGCCGCGCCGCCCCCCGCGCCCATCCCAGGCAGGTGACGGGGAAAGGAAAGGGACCCCGACCCTTACCGTAAACAGGCGGCGCCGGCGCGTGGGGCGACCTGAGCGCGCGCGTCCGCCCGGCAAGGGCGGGGAATGATTTAGGGTCCGGGTCAGGTCAGGTCGGGGTCGCCGCCTCTGAGCCCAGAGGTCCCGATACCCGGCCCGCTCTTCCGTCAGCTCTCCCGGCAGTTCTCGCCACTCCCGTTTCCGACACCACCTGCTCCCCGCACCGCGGCGGATGATGGCGGAGGAGGAGGATTTTGAAAGCCGGCAGTTTCTTTCCTTCGATTTGATTTGTTCGAGGCCCAGGCCGGGTTCACCTTCCCCCGCGCGCGTGGCCTCTCGGGTATGGTAGTCCAGTTCTTCTGCGCGGGGCGCGGCGACCGCGGCAGGGGCGCGCCCGCGAACTACCAGTCCCGTGACCCACCGCGTCCCAGCGCGCCTCCGCCGGCTCCCTCTGCGCCCTCCCTTTTCGGCTTCGGGCTCTTTCTCCAGGAGGCCACAGGGCGGCGTGTAACCCCGGGCGCCCAGGGAGACTACAATTCCCTCCATGCCTTGCGGTCCAGCCTACTCAGCCCTTCCGGAAAGGTTGACGCTCACGTAACTTTATTGACAAAGGCTGGTGCTCCTGAAGGCGAGCTGTTGGGTCTGTTCGGCAAGAAATAGGCGTCCATTTCCTCAAAGGAAAGCCTCGCCTTTTTTCTCCCATGAAATTGAAAGGCCATTCGAAGTCTTTCACATAAACAGCCGCAAGTTATTTGATAATCAAAAAGGGAAATAGTTAACCCTATGGTAGAGAAGCTGAGACACCATCTTAACCAAATGGTCCACGTTAACATGAGTAATACGACAAACTGACGTCCATTGCACACCTGCTGATGTGAGACACTGAGAAGGACACAGCGTCACCATGCAGTCAGCAGTGCATAAAATTAATCTAATCCTGAGGAAGCATCAGCCAAACCCAAACTGAGTTACAGTTTCTTCGGCTACAGAATAACTGGTCTGTACTCTTGCAAAAATGTCTGTGTCATGAAAGACAAAGAAAATCTGAGGAACTGTTGCAGATTAAAGGAGACTAAAAAGACATGACAACTAAATGCAACCAATGGTCGTGGATTGGATCCTGGACTGGGGAGGAAATTACTGTAAAGGGCAATATGGAGACAATTAGCAAAACTCGATGGTATATTAGATGATAGTATTGTATCAATGTTAAATTTATTGATTTTTATTATTGTGCTGGGTTATGTAAGAGACTGCCTTTGTTCTTGGTAATGAATGCTGAAATAATTAGGGGTGTGATATCAGCAGCTGACTTGCCAATGGTTCAAAAAATGTGTATATACATAGAGAGAGTGCACATGTGACCAGATGTTCAAAGTAAGTGAATCTGGGTGAGGGGGTATATGGGAGTTCTTTGCACTTTTGCCACTTTTCCCTAGGTTTGAATTTTTTAGGTATCAGAACACAAATAGCTTTTCTTTTTTTCTTTTCGCAAAGAACATTTTATCCATTATATAAATAACATGTGTTTGCTATAAATACTTCAACCAACATAGAACAGGATACAGAGAAAAGTAAACATTACCCGAGAAACTCCAGCACCCAGACATAATCACCATCAACATATGCAGCCTTCTCCAAAGTCACCTCTCACAACTTGGCCCACGCACATGCTTTTGCTTTACCTGCAATTGAAAGTTAAATATATTATGTGCCAGATCTTTTCACACACAGTTAATTTAATCTTTACAACCACAAAGGAAGCGGGCATCATTGCACCCCTTCCAGCACAGAGATGAGAAAACAAGCTCCATACCCTGGTTCACACCACTACTGAGATGTGGATCTTCTTTCCACCCTCCCTCTCCTCCTCTGCCTACAAGGCCCATATCAAATGCCACCTCCTCCGGGAGGCTTTTCTACACCACTCTGTCCAGAATGAGTCACCTTCCTCTGGGCCCCACAGTGGTTGATCTGCAGCTCTGAAGGCTTTTTCACAACGTTAATAGGTATTATTGGCAGCATCCTTGTCAACCTGGGAGAGCTTTGGGGCAGGTACTGTGCCCATCTTGGCAGCATCTTTTCCAGGATTCACCTGTCGTTAAGTGCTTCACGTTTCCTCATTTGAACTGGATTCCAGTCAGGGTCACTGGATGTTTGCTTAAAATGAGTCATCATCCGAGAAGGCTGAGATGCTCCCAATTAGGCCTGATGCTATTCCTGTGCTGTTTACAGCTAGGACCTATCAAATCAGTCTGGATTTTCCTTTGGGTGATCCCCAGCCTCCCTTTTCCGGTTTTCCTTCCTGAGGCCTTCCTTGACCCTCTGACAAGGACCTCCCAAAGGGAAGAGGAGGGCGGACCGTAGGATATCTTAGGCGATCTTCCCTGTCCTCGCCTAGCTGATGGATCATAGGGTTTTCAGGATTGGAAGGGAATTCTTAGTAAGAAACAACAGGCTTCAGGGCGCCTGGCTGGTTCGGTTGGTAGAGCATGTGACTGTTGATCTCAGGGTCATGAGTTCAAGCCCAACAATGGGTATGGAGCCTATTTAATTTCAAAAGAAAGAAAAAGAAACAACAGCCTTCAAGGGCCAGAGAGGTGTTAGGAGGTAATGGGAGCCTGGTGGGGCTTGTGGAGAACCGGAGAGTAAATGTTCTGCCTGAACATGTTCACATTCAAAGCTCAAAATCACCAAACCAGCCAGACATCAGTCCTTAGCAATCCAGATTCTGTTACTCCTGAATCTAGATTCTATCTCAAATCACTTTAAAATGGGAAGACTGTTTTTTTGTTTTGTTTTGTTTTAAGATTTTATTTATTCATTTGACAGAGAGACAGAGAGAGAGGGAACACAAGCAGGGGGAGTGTGAGGGAAAAGCAGGCTTCTGGCAGAGCCAAGAGCCCGATGTGGGGCTTGATCCCAGGACCCCAGGATCATGACCTGAGCAGAAGGCAGACGCTTAAAGACTGAGCCACTCAGGCGCCGAAGGCTGGGGTTTAAAAAGAGAAGGAGATTACCCAATGGTACACAGTGTCAGAGGAGTCCAGAGCCATCAGTGTTTCCAAGCAACGCATTTGTCATCTCTCCTCTTTCTCCAACTCTCTCCCTTTCAAGTTATCACCTGAGAGGTAGTTTGACTTGCCCAGTAAATGGAATCATAGCCTTTGACCCATGGATTGAGTCATCTCAGGCCACGCCTTTCTTCTTTTCAACACAAAGAATTGAGGACCAGAGAGGTTAAGTAACCTCCCCAAATTACACAGTAACTTAGACAAGAGACAGTAGTTTGTGTTTTTTTTAAGTAAGCTCTATGCCCAACATGGGGTTTGAACTCATGACCCCGTAATCAAGAGTGGCATGCTCTTTCAACTGAGTCAGCCAGGCGCCCCAATATAAGAGACAGCAGAAGCCAGATCTCTCGGGTCCTTTTCAACACACATGTAAAACAAGTGATTTTGTGAGTATGAGGTGGGTATAAGGGGAAAGGGGAATGTTTTAGACCTTTCTGTCTCTGTTATGCAGCTTTTCCCCCCCTTTTTTTTTTAAAGAATGTTTTGAAGAGAAAAGCAGGCTGCCTCTGATTCATTTGGTTTACTTTAACTGAGTGTTTTAAATTCCATTGTGGTGCCTGAAAACAAATTTAATTGCTAATTGTAAATGGAATAAATAACAATATTTATACTGTTACTAAGAACTACTAAGGCTGCAGACTTGCCATTTAATGAGATCAAAAACAAAGGCCTGAATTATGCCAAACATGTGAGGAATGTGGAGAGAGATTCCCAAGACCCATCGGTGCTGGTGCTTGCCTAGGGCCCCTAGAGAAAGGTGGGCCTGGCCTCCCAGCATTGCAGGGGAGCCTGCCCCCTCACCCCCAAGGGTCACCTCCCCTGGTGGGAAGGGGTTGCTACATCATCTGTTAAAGGCCACTCAAACCACATTCTCCCCTGGGTTCAAGCTCAGGGCTCCCCATCAGAATACATGACCTTTTTTAAACTTTGATAAATAACCATAATTAAAATAATTCATTCCCCCCACAAATAGTAATCTAGTATCTACTATGTCCCAGGCACTGTTCTGGCTCTGAGAATCCAAAGGTAAGTGAGACAGAAAAGGATGTTGTCTATGGAGGAGGTTAAATGCTGGTCTAAAGTTTCTGGAGAGTTTCCTGATACCAAATACTTTTGGTAGATTGTTTTCTCTTTTAAGAATTCTTTTGCTCCAGGGCGCCGGGGTGGCTCAGTTGGTTTTAAGGATCTGCCTTCAGCTCAGGTCCTGATCCCAGAGTCCTGGGATCCAGCCCCGCATTGGGCTCCCATCTCAGCGGGGAGCCTGCTCCTCCCTCTGCTACTTCCCCTGCTTGCATGCGCACTCTCTCTCTCTCAAATAAATAAATAAAATCTTAAAAAAAAAAAAAAAAAGCAATTCTTTTGTTCCTGGGGGCACCTAGGTAGCATAGTCGGTTAAGCGTCCAACTCTTGGTTTCAGCTCAGGTGGTGATCTCGGCATCCTGGAATGGAGCCCCACATCAGGCTCCACACCCAGCATGGAGTCTGCTTGGGATTCTCTCTCCCTCTTCCTCTGCCCCCTCCCCTGTGTGCTCTCTCTCTCTTTTTCAAAGATTATATTTATTTGAGAGAGAGAGAGGGAGAGAACACAAGCAGGGGGAGGGGCAGAGGGAGAGAGAGAAGCAGACTCCCTGCTGAGTGGGGAGCCCCACGTGGGGCTCAGTCCCAGGACCCCAGGATCATGACCTGAGCTGAAGGTAGATGCTTAACCGACTGAGCCACCCAGGTGCCCCAAATAAATAAATCTTAAAAAAAAAAAGAATTATTTTCTTCCAAAATGGAAATAATTTTTTAAATAAATACTGACAGAGGCGCCTGGGTGGTTCAGTCGGTTAAGCGGCTACCTTTGGCTCAGGTCATGATCCCAGGGTCCTGGGATTGAGCCCCGCATCGGGCTCCCTGCTCAGCAGAGAGCCTGCTTCTCCCTTTCCCTCTGCCTGCCGCTCTGCCTACTGGTGCTCTCTATCTCTCTGTCAAATAAATAAATAAATAATATATTTAATAAATAAATAAATACTGACAAATTTTTAAAAAATAGTATAAATGCAAAAGAGCATTAAGAATAAAGTTAAGGGGGTTGTCTGGGTGGCTCAGTTGGTTAAGCGTCTGCCTTCTGCTCAGGTCATGATCCCAGAGTCCTGGGATCGAGTCTCGCTTCAGGCTCCTTGCTCAGCAGGGAGCCTGCTTCTCCCTCTGCCTGCCACTCCCCCTGCTTGTGCTCTCTCTCTCTCTCTGACAAATAAATAAATAAAATCTTAATAAAAGAGGAATAAAGTTAAGGGGTGCTTGGCTGGCTCAGTCAGTGGAGTATGTGACTCTTGATCTCAGAGTCATGAGTTCAAGCCCCACATTGGGCGAAGAGTTTACTTAAAAAAAAGAAGAGTAAGTTAAAAATTACCTGTTCTGTTTTGTTTTTTTTGTTTTGTTTTGAACAAAAATGTTATGTGGGTGGATGAGTGGATGGGCGGATGGATGGATGAATGAATAGGTGATTGAGCAACATAGCAAAATGTTTACAATTATAACATGATCTAGGGCATGTGAATATTCACTGCTCAGTCCTTTCAGCTTTCTGTACGCTTGGACATTTTTGTAATAACACGTTGGGAACAACGTGACCATGTTTTGTTGCATTTCCTCCCCTGTATGCTAGTTTGGGGACTAGCCTATCTCAGCCTCTAGGTTCATGAGTCCCCTCCCCTTCTCTCTTTTTAAGTCACTCTCACCTTTGACAATCTGAATTCTCTGGACTAGTTCCCAGAAGAATTTATTATTTATTTTTAGTTAATCACACAGTTATCAACGTTTTGCATGCAAGGACTTGTTTAATCCTCACAATGACCCTGTTGGGAAAGTGCTCTTATCATCACCGACCTGAGCCATAAGTTGTGCATCACATCTCCAGGGCCCTTCCCTCAACCCCAAATTAGGATCCCTTGCTGGAGGGCTGGGACATGGAACTATGCTAGAGCTGTGGGGACATGGGGTTTCTCTAGGACCCAGCATGGGGCCTCGCACCGAACGTTTGTTGAGTGACTGAATGAACATTGCACAGGCTTGTGGCAAAGGTCGCCATGCACTCATAGCCTCCCCACCAGAAGATAACAAGGCATCTCTGAGGGCCCGACCACGGCAGGCCTGAGCTCAGCAGAGGAGGTGCTCCCTGCAGAAGGGATAACCAAACGACATAACTGTCAGTTCCTCAAAGGTGAGAGCGTGAGTGTCTGACTCCCATTCTCCAGCAACCCTCTCAGGGGACTGGTCCTTAGGGGTGATCAGGGATGTATCCAAACAAGATGTCCACATCATGGGGCAGGGGTCAGGCTTTATAGGTAGACAGGCCTGGGTCTGGATTCTGTCTCTGCCTCTTTCTTAGCTGTGTGGCCTCAGCCAAATCACTTAACTGCTTTCTGTCTGTTTTTTTCACCCAAAACCAGGTCAAAACAATCCCTACCTTATAGGGCTTTAGGGGGGAGGGGTTAAGAGAATCAACATGTACAGAGTACTTGGCTCATAGTAAATAAGACGTGGTAGATGTTGCTGCTATTTAGGCTTCAGTGTGTGGACACAGAGCATTTGCTGCCCAGTGACACTGGCCTTCCCAGAAAACATCCTACTGGCGCCAGCCTCGAGGGTTTTCTCTCAAAAGCACCACCACATAGGGCTGACATCTTGTAAAGGCCCATTTACCAGCTCAGGCAGCATGGACAGTTTAACTGGTTGATGTCAAATCGAAAGGGGGGTGGTGGTGTCCAGCTGAATCCCCTTTAAATGATGGACAGTCTTTTAAGGATATGTGCTCTTTTGCTGGCCGCTTGGGATGGTGGAATCACATCGTTTGCCAGCTAGTTCATTTGAGGCAAGATGTGGGGATCCAACTGGCCTCAGCATCCTCCTTCCATAACATGGGAGTGATAGTAACAGTGATGCCTAATCTGATCAATTGTCAAGAGTGTTTCACTGTACATTGTACGGGGGGCATATTTATCAGATACTCTTATCCTTGGGGCGCCTGGGTGGCTCAGTCGTTAAGCGTCTGCCTTCGGCTCGGGTCATGATCCCAGGGTCCTGGGATCGAGCCCCGCATCGGGCTCCAGGGAAGCCTGCTTCTCCCTCTCCCGCTCCCCCTGCCTGTGTTCCTTCTCTCGCTGTGTCTCTCTCTGTCAAGTAAATAAATAAAATCTTAAAAAAGAAAAAGATATTCTTATCCTTGTTTTACAAATGAGGAAATTGATGATGCTGTAAGACTGCACAGTCACCCAGCTAGCAAGAGGTGGGAGCTGGGACTCCGCCCCACCCTGGTCTTCCAATGCCACCACATCACCCAGCTCCCCTAAATTGCCAGGCTCTGCCTGTGGCTGCCTTTGACCCATGATCTTGGGTCTATCCCAGGTGACCCAGGGATTGATTTCCCAGGAAATATCAGAATCCCCAAGGGGTGCTTGTCAGAAATGCCGAATTCGAATCTCTTGAGAGCAGGGGATTAGGAATCTTCATTTTAAGCCAGCCCTGCTCTGCAGTAAGTCTGAGGGTCTCTGGACTCTGCTTTTCATTTCTGGACATAAATGCCCATCCTCTTCATGCCAGAGGCTGCCTTTTTGTTTCTTAGAGTATCAGGGGGACAGAAAGCATTCACAGGAAAAGGAGTTTGAGAACATCTGATGGTGCAGGTGCATTTTTCCCCCGCTTTCAAGGCTTCCTTAAGGCAGGTAGTAAAAATCGTGGGAGGTCGTATAAAACACACAGGCTCTGGAGTCAGAATTGCCACGTGGGACAAATCAATCTCCAGGCCTTAGTCTTCTTTCTGTAAAATGGGCAAGCTAAAACCAACATTCCAGGGGCACCTGGGTCGCTCAGTCGGTTAAGCATCTGACTCTTGATTTCGGCTCAGGTCATGATCTTGGGGTCCTAAGAACAAGCCCCCCCCCCCCAGGGCTCCTCGCTCAATGGGGAGCCTGTTCTCTCCCTCTGCCCCTCCCCCCACTCATCCTCTCTCTCTCTCTCTCTCTCTCAACTAAATACATCTAAAAAAATAAATAAAACCAACCTTCCAGGATCATTGTGAGAATTAAATAAGCAGACACATCTGCAGGTTCTTGCCCTCCTAGCACTTACTGCAGTGTGTTTAAAATGTTAAAAATTTGTCCCACAGGGGAACCTGCATCTGCCTTTGGCTCAGGTTATGATCCCAGTGGGATGGAGTCCCATGTCAGGCTCTCTGCTCAGCGGGGAGCCTGCTTCTCCCTCTCCCTCTGCTGCTCCCCCTGCTTGTGCTCTCTCTCTGTCAAATAAATAAATACAATCTTTTTTTTTTTTTTAAGATTTTATTTATTTATTTGACACAGAGAGACACACAGAGAGAGGAAACACAAGCAGGGGGAGTGGGAGAGGGCGAAGCAGTCTTCCTGCCAAGCAAGGAGCCCGATGCGGGGCTCGATCCCAGGATCCCGGGATCATGACCTGAGCCAAAGGCAGACGCCTAACGACTGAGCCACCCAGGTGCCCCTAAATAAATAAAATCTTAAAAGAAAAAAAAAAAATTTGTCCCACCAATATACCCCCAGCTCCTAAGATGTCTCTGGCGCAAAGGTGTGGGGAAGGGATAACATTTATAAAGCCCACCGGGCTCACAGCTGATCCTCAATAAATTAAACACACACATATGTACGTGTTATACATACATACACACCTGTAAGTACGTGTGTGTATAAATACAAGCGCATGTGTGTGTGTACGAAATTAGGAGGGGGAAAGAAGGACATTTGAGAGAACTCTCACGGGGTGTGGGAGTCCTGTGGAATCAGCGCGGGCGGTGGTAGCGAGGATAACACTGCATTTGGAATCAGCAGCTCTGGATTCAAGTCCAGTCTGGGCCCCAGCCGCTCTGAGGCAGTGCCCAGGGATGTCTTACAGCCCATCTCTCTGGTTCATCTCCCTTTTCCTACTGGGTCGTCTAAGTAGCCTCAAATCCTTTCGGGAAAGATCTCCAACATAAAACACCAGCCGACTGAGGGTCTGATGCCTCTCTGAGCCTCCAGTCCTCATCGGTGAAAAGGGCACAAAGCAGCTGGGGTTTGGGGGAGCCCTCTCGGAGAGCACCCGGCAACGCGGGGGCTTTTTACACCTATGGGGAAGGTCCGAGGCGCTGAGTTCGGCCAGCATCAGCCCAGAAATACAGACCTGCCCAACGAAAAAGCCCTAAAAGGGAAGGCCACGTTTCAAGAACATAAAGGTGGATTCCAGGCATGAGCTTGCCGCGGGGCAGGGGGACTTCCCCGCCCCCAGGTGCGCAGCCCGCGCCGCCCACCCCGGGCGCGAGGCGAGGGAAGCCGCGCTCTAGGACCCGAGGAGGAAGAGCTGCAGGGAGACGGTGCCTCCAGCGGGTGCTGCCGCGAGCGGCCGGCCGAGGGGGCTGGAAATGAAAGTAAAGCGCTCCGGAGCCACATGGACCGAGCTGCCGGGGCGGCGGCGCCGGGAGCAGGATGCGGCCGCCCGTAATTAAATAGCATTTACTCTTATTATTACTAATAATAATAACGTAATCATACCTCTAGTCATAGCATACCATTTATCGGGCTCGGCGCAGGCCCGCGGGGAGCGCAGCCCGGCCGAGGTGAGTGCTGCGCGCGGCCCGAGCCCCGCGGGGCAGGGCCGGGGCCCGACTGGGTCCCGGCGGCCGGCGCGGGAGGGCTCAGGGGCGCCCGGGGGCCGCGCCGGGCCGGGAGGGGGCGCGGGGAGCCCTGGCCAGGCCCGAGCTGCGCGGGGCCACCCGCAAAGTGCCTTTTGCAGAAATAAAGAAAGAGCCGCCAAGTCCTCATTTCCTCCTTTTGGGGGCTCCCCCTCCCCGTCCCCGTTCCCTGCCCCAAAGTTTCAAAGTTGTGCGGCCGGGGGCACCTGCCGCTGGGTGATTTGGCCGCCCCTGCAGCTCCCAGGGGGGTGCCGCGGAATTTTCTTCCGTGGGGGGCTCCCGCCTCGGCGTCCGGAGCTTTGGGGTGCGCGGATGCTTTGCCGGCCCCCGCGAAGGGGGTCGAGGGGGCTGGCAGGGGCGTCTCTGGCAGCGCGCCCCTTCCTTTTGTGTGCGCCTCGGCCCCGCAGCGCCAAGAGTTGAAGGGACCGCAGCAAGGGCCGAGGACCGCGGCCGCCGACGGGTCGCCTCTGCCGGCTGCGGCGGCCACGCGAGCCCGGGGATCCGGGGCCTGCGGCCCGGCCCGGGGGGAGGGGGCGGCAGGAAAGGGGGGCGCGGTCTGGGCAGGGGGGCATTTCCGGTCGCGAGATCCATCCCTGGGCTCCGAGGCCTGAGCGGGGCGGGTCGCCGGGCTGGGAGTGCGCGGGGACTGGGGTGGGGGGAGGGCGGCTCCAGCGCCTGGGGGGCGCCCCCCGGAGATCGGCGCCCCGGAGTCACTGACCCAGGCCTCGGACCCTCCTCCCACCGTCAGCGGGTCTCAGGGACTCCCCCACCTTCCCTCCCCGGGCCTGCTCCCTCCTTTCCCCTCTTTCCCTTTAAAATCTCTCTGGCTCGGATGTTTATAAGGTGCCTGGTTTGGGGGTCTTTCACAGAGACAAAGCAGTTTTCCCAGGAGGAAAAAAAAACAAAACAAAAAAACGTCGAAACGTTCCCTCTGCCCCTGATGGCTGTGGTGCCGACATGGCATCAATGGGGAAGAGTAGGGGCTGGGGCCAGGAAAGGGGGCTGGGGAGTCTGGGGCTGGAGAAGGGGGCTGGGCCTGGACTGGGGGACTGGGGGCCCATAGCAGCTTTGCCGGGGATTTCAGTTCTCTGGGGTTGCTCACAGAGACTTTGGTGTCTAGGTACTAGATTTTGAACCCCAACTTCTTACATTTTCCTCAGCATCTGCAATTCATCCAGTCCCATGAAAATAGCAGAATGCAGATCCTTGGATTTTCACACAAATGGGATAATTATAGTACATTTAGCAACTGTTGGACACAAAATTCCAGCGGAATCTTTACTTCTACTACCAAGACTACTACTGTCCCTCTCTCCACATACAACCATACCCACCAAAGTCTTCTTTCCCCATTTGGACTTCCTGTAGAAATTGGACTGCGAGGGAGAAGTGATGCCTGGCCAAAATGCTATTGTGGCAGGTTTGAGGCGTGGGGTACCTTAAGCTGGGAAGGAGAAACCTGTGTTGAGGAGGGATGAGATCTGAGGATGGGAGAGAGATTTTGTGGTCCCTGAGCTGGAACCAGGTTTGTGTTCCACGGAGGCTGTGAATTCTAGGCTGTTGGCTTTTTGTTTGGGATGGACAATTAAGAATGCGGGTGTGGGTGGATTATTGGGGGCTAAGAAGCTCTGTGGGATGAGCTAGTCTCTAGGTATAAGAAAGTTAAGGCGTCAGTAGGTTTGGATTTGAGACTCTGAAAATAATAATCCCTTAAATAGAACTTTTTAGTGTATAACAAAAGGGCTTTCACATATGCCGGCTCATCTGCGCTCCATAGCAACCATGTCAGGTAGACATTATTCAATCCTCGTTTTCCAGATGAGAAACCTGAGGCTTCTAGAATCGAGTGTCCCCCTGGAAAGTCACATAGCAGAGCTAGGATTCCCACTTAGTTTTCAGACTCCAAATCTTCAGCCTTTCCCAGAGGCCTGGGCCGCCTTAGCAAGTTAGATTTTGAACGCCTTCTGTGAGCATGGTGAGATGCTGTGGGGCAGGCTTGGGGTTGAGTTTGTCACCTAGATTCTGGCTGGAAAGAGAAAGTCAACTCTAGTAGAACCCATGAGAGGACCAAGACATGCTCAGTACTGGAGTCAATGCAGTGGGAGGGAGCAGAAGAGAGAGCTCTCAGGGTAACCTGGCAAAGTTAGAAAAGGCTTCCTCCGGCAAGTGGATCTTGAGCTTGACAGAATGGGGAGGTTTGGCTGGGGGAGAGAAGAGGAAAGGAATTCCTGAGCTGGCCATAGTTGCTTCTGTGCCGGGAGGCTGATGGATATTCTGACTCTTACAGTGGTTCCATGAGGGGGTGGGCATTTTTATCTCCATTTCACAGATGGAAAAACTGAGGAATGCAGGATTCATGTGGCTGGCCCGATGTCAGCCAGCTGGATTGGAACCCAGGCGTATGTGACTGTTGAATGTACTACATCAGGATTGGTGTCAGAATTGGCTCACCTCCATTTCAAATGTGTAGACAAAGAACAGAGACCAGGACAGTCTGATTTGGTAAATGCAATGGGGGTGGGGGAGTTTTACTGAACTCCCTTATATCCCAGGGCCTCACGGGGCTGGCCCAGTGAAAGGACTTAGGAGATTTCTGGAAGCATGCCTGGAGAAGGCAGAATGGTGGTGAAGGAGGACTGGGCTCTGAGTGTGAAATCTAAGTTCACTTCCTCAGTGCCTAAGGGTGCCTGGCTCGACACCTTGAAGGAGCTTGTCCTTTGGAAAGGAGAACAATATGGGTGATTAACCTGAGCTTCCCAAGGGCAGACACTGGGTCTGATTCACCCCCTGTGCCCCAGGCCCCAGTGGAGGTGCCCAGAGGACACATTCAGCCAACGTGTTGTCATATTGAATTATACTCCAGTGTAGGGGAGGAAGGGTTTTTTTTTTTTTGTCTCTGGGGTGAAGGTCTTCCTAGAAGTGCCATTTGAACATTTGGGAGGTGGGTTCAGAAAGGCCAGAGAAGGCATCCTGAGGAGAGGCAGCGAGCCGGGCAAAGGCAGGGCAGTGTGAAGAAGGAAGCGGCAGGTCATCTGGTCCTGCCACGCGTGGGGGGCAGGCATGAGTTCACGTCCCTTGGGCTCTCTGGCCCCAAATTTCCCTTTCTAAAAATGAGCCCTGCGGTTTGATGGTGTGTGACGGTGACCTGTGGGGAGAAGCCCAGTGCCCGGGAGTCAGGGCAGGAGAGTCAGAAGAGAGGAACTACACGTGGAGGGGTTTTAAAATTTTTAATCATGTAGCCGTTACCCAAGCCAGCATTTCCTATAGCCCGGCCCTGTTGTGAGTGCTTTTTTCCTAGATGAGCTTACTTAACCTTCACAGCAGCCATACAGGGAAGCACTGTAATTGTCCCCATTTTACAGATGAAGAAACTGTCAAGGGAGGTTAAGTGGCAGAGCTGGAGAGCAGAGCCAGGCAGCCTGGCTCTTGAGTTGGCTCCGCGTGGGACTAGGGACGGGGAAGGACGGGGCGGAGGGAGTGACCAGGCGGGCAGTGGTAACTTCAGGTGGCAGAGGTGGAGGTGTCCTCTGAGGAAGTCTGGCTGCAAGCCGAAGCTGGAGCCTCAGGAGCCTCAGCCTGGGCTGATGAAGTGACTGGTACGTGTCAGCTCCCAGGAGCCCCCACAGAAGCCAGCTCCTTTCATCATGTTTAATGGCCCATAGAAAACAGGCTCGCTTTCCTTTCTCTGTCATCACCAGCTACGGGGCTCCTTCCTGCCTTATTTATTTCCCTAGGAAGTCTGTTTCTCGGCTAGCGCCCTGATGGCTTCTGCAGGTGTGTGAGCACCGTTGCCCCGTCAGGCTGTGGGGGCCACCGCTGCATTCAGAAGCTGGCTGTGGCCGACTTCAGTCCAGCCGCGGGTCCCAGGCCCCCACCCCGAGCTTGATGGCAGCAGTGGCCGTTCGGGACACCAGCCACCACGTACTTAAGGCTGCCGTGTGCCGGCCCTGTGCTTGGCACTTTCTGGGCCTTCTCTGCCTGAATCCACTCAACAACTCTCTGAGGCAGGAAGGAGTTTTAGCAGCCCCATCTTGCAGATGAGGAGACAGGGTCCAAGATCACCAGCCTGTGGTGGAGCCGGGACTCAGGGGGTCAGAGGGGGCCAGGCATTTTGCACTCCCGAGCCCAAGGTCTTTGCCGCTCTGCAAGAGAGGTGCCTTCAGGGTATTTTGTTTTGTTAGTCAGTCATCTCTGCGTCCAATGTGGGGCTCAAACTCGCGACTCTGAGATCAAGGGTCGCGTGCTCTACCGACTGAGCCAGCCAGGCGCCCCACGAGTTCTTTTAGTCTCCATGAAGCTCTTATCTCTCTGGAAATCTCAATTATCTATCATTTGTATTGTGCTTTGGCCCATATTCTCATGAATCCTCTTGACACTCCTTTAAAAGGCAAGAAGTCCCTGTTTTGCAGAAGAAGAAAGTGGAGGGGTCACCCGCCCTCCCGCTCTTCCTACCCTGTCCACACTGTGACTTGGAAAGGGAAGGTCCCACATTCCCTGGGACTGAGAGCCATGTCTTCCGAAGTGCTGGGGACAGCCAGTGAGCATCCATTGATCACTTGCTGTGAGGGCTGCAGGGGAGGTTGAGGCTGACCCTGCTGGGGTTTACAGAGGTTCATCTATGCTTTTGTTCTCTGGAGCATTCGGTGTCATGCCCTGTCTGCCTGCAGGCAGAGGAACTTAGGGCAGGGAGTCCAAAGTCCTCAGTTTCATTCCCAGCTCCAGCACACACTAGCTGCGTGTTCTGGGGCACAATCATATTGTCACTCTTGGCCTCAGTCTCTTGTTCTGTGAAATGGCCTCACCGATTCAGTCCCATCTTCCCTGGGTGTGCTGTGAGACTCAAATGAAGAGAATTTGAAAACCATAAAGACCACTGGTGTGACAGCGTGCTTATGGTGGCCATAACCTCCAGAATGTTCCTGAAT